TCATACACAAGACGAAGCCACAACATCATCTTTCCAGTGCCTTATTTTAAATAAACGGGGTTTCCGCTCGGCCCATTCTTTCCAGTATTTATTATTTTGACCATATTGATTTCATACTGGTGAAAAACATTTCATTTTAAATAACTCCCGCCACAGTATTAACCTTTTCACTAAGCAGTCGATATACTCAAAAGCGACCTGATTGAAAGCCCAAAAATTCGCGCATGCGCTATCGAGGTAGGGTAGTGTGATTGAATAGAGTGATACATTTTTATGCGTATATTCACTCATGCATATACCATTACAAATCATTTATTTTAAAAATCTTCTGAATGTTTTTGTGAGTACAGTATTTTCAAGGGTCACAATTTTAATACGAAAGTTTACTGTCTCAATTACAGTTAATATGCCAAAGGCTAAGGATAGAGGGGATAAGCCCAATGGACCATATATGAGGAAGGCCTTGGGAAGACGGGTGGAAAAAGACAATAACAATGCTAGTGAACTGGTGGATGATGAAGATTTAGATGTGTCTAGGGAAGAGGGTTTTCCATTTGAAATAAAAGAAAAAATTGCCAATTTTTTTATGATAGGCCATATTTTTATGACCAAACAAATTTACGAGAACAGACAAAAGAAAGATGCAGAAATAGGGAATTTTGCTAATAGCATCGGATGGACAGGTAGACATAACATGTGTTTATATGAAAGATCTAAAAATGAATTAAGGTCAGGGTGCACTTTGATGAAAAGACCACGTGTAGTATGGCAAGTGATTTTAGACGGTCATAATTTTCACCATGAGTACTTTCTGGGCATAAATACAGTGTTTTTATTAAAACAATATGTTTTCTTTTAATTGAAGTATCCATGATAGTAAAAATATCAATCAAACAATTTAAAAAATTATGAATAGGGACCCCATGTCAGCATTTTTTTTCTAAATATTGAACCTATTTAGAGGATCTTCTTTTTCTGATTTTTATTGCATGAAAACATTATTATCCTGGAAGTGCTGTCTATTGAAGTATTTCGTTTTCAAATCTTGCATTCATGCCATGTGGAACAGTCAAACTGGGTCATACAAGAATTTAGTATAAATCTAGAGGCCTGTAGATCGACCGATGTCCTGGCGGGTGCCGTACGGCCATCGGCAGATAGCCTTGCGATACCCGTGCGATGTCTTTCAGATTCAATTGATTGCGGGCGCCGTACGATGCCTGTACTAATGTGACCATACTCACGATTAGATCAACACATCGGTGAAAAGTCACCGGCGCCCGGTCGATTTATAAATCGGCCGATGACTACTCATCGGCCGGCGCCCGGCGGCTATGTGACCTAGGCATTACTTAGCAAATAAAAAATGGTTGATATATTTTATTATTATATGCCCAATATGTAACACTAATCCTGATCGGTCAATGCATAGTCACGTGTCATAAAAGAGAATTACTATTTGCCTTCGGCTTCGAGAATATAGTAGATTTTAGAGGATATATCTCTGTAACTTCAAATTCCATACGTTTCTCTGTTTTATCAGTTCGAAAGTTCACGTGACCAAGTCATGCCTGATATGAGTGATAGATGGGTTTGTAATGATTGCTATAGCAACATCATATTGGGTAATACTACTGATAACAAACATACATTGAATGGTCATTGAGACATATTCAATGAAAATTGAATTGTATCATGGGTCGTCAAGTTTCACACCACAGCACTCTATTATAAGCCAAATGGGTTGCTCATGAACACCAAATGCAAGGTATATATCTGGGACAGACCAGGGGTCTTAAAACACTAAATACCTATTTGTCACCTTGTTAATAAGTGCATGCAGTTCAAAATGTAATTGACGTGAGTGTTTTCCTTTTCTCTATTCAATCTCTAATTTATCATAAATTAGCCATGTCAACGTGTTTATAATGCATGCAGTTCAAAATGGAATTGACTTGAGTGTTTTCCTTTTCTCTATGCAATCTCTAATTTATTATAAATTAGCCATGCCACCATTTTCATTATGTAGAAATTGAAATTGAATTTGACAACAAATAGAATTCATTTGATAAATGAATAATTGCATGTAATGTTACCAATGGTATCGTGACTAGCCTAATCTCTTTGTTCTTTACATTGTACTCACCTACAGGCCCGTCAGATGGGGGGGTGCGATGGGTGTGACCGCACCCCCCTTTGACACCCCCCAAAAAAAAAATTAAAAAAAAAAAGCATCAAATAGCATCTTAAAATTGTAAAATTTTCTAGAGGGAGTGGGTCACCCCTCACACCCCCTCAATACAATGGAAAAGTTCGGAATTTATTTTATGTATTGTCTCAGACACTTTTAAAGTGCCCAAGTGCCCAGACTTCATAACATAGCTCCTTGATATAGTCAATGTTTCTGGTGGGGGACAAACACATGCTCCCCTTCGGGATCCCCACCCCAACCCACCTCCCCCTCTGGCACCCTCGGCCCTCGCCCCCTGGACACCCCTCCAAAAAATTGTGATTTTCTCAAATTTTCAATTGACTCATACACTTTGAAAGTGCCCAGAGAGCACTAAATAGCGTTTTAAAATTGTAAAACTTTCTAGGGGGAGTCGGCCACCCCTCACACCCAAAGCAAAATTGAAAAGTTCTGAATTTATTTTATGCATCATCTCAGACACATGTAAAGTGCCCAGACATCATCAAATAGCACCTTGATATAGTCAATGATTCTGGGAGACTAACACTTACTCGCCCTCTTGCATCCCCACCCCACCTTCCCCTCTGGCACCCCCTCCCCCTTTGACAACCCCCAAAATATTGTGATTTTTTCAAATTTTTTATTGAGTCATACACTTCGAAAGTGTTCAGAAAGTACCAAATAGCATCTTAAAATTGTAAAATTTTCCAGGGAAGTAGGCCACCCCTCACATCCCCCACAAAAAATTCTGAATTTATTTCATGCATTGTCTTAGACACTTTTAAAGTGCCCAGACTTCATCAAATAGCACCTTGATATGGCCAATGTTTCTGGGGACAGATATTGGGGAAAAACATTTGCTGGCCCTCTGGCACCCTAATCTCACCTCCCCCTCTGGCATCCCCCCTCTGGCATCCCCCTTTGACACCCCTAAAAATTGAAAAAATGTAATTGTTTTTCAATTTTTTTTCGATTGACTCATACACTTTAAAAGTGCCCAGAAGCACCAAGTATCATCTTAAAATTGTAAAATTTTCTAGGAGAGTTGACCACCCCTCACATCCCCCACAAAACAATTGAAAAAATTCTGAATTTCATGTATTGTCTCAGACATTTTTAAAGTGCCCAGACATCATCAAATGGCACCTTGATTTGGTCACTGTTTCTTGGGAACAACCCCTTAATGCTCCCCCTCTGACACTCCACCCCACTTCACCCTTTCATTCTCTTTGACATCCCCAAAAAGAATTTGAAATTTGTTTTATCGACGACTCATTCACTTTAAAAGTACCCAGAAAGCACCAAATGGCATCTCAAAAGTGTAAAATTTTCTAAGGGGAGTGGGTCACTCCTCACAAGTTTGGAAGTTGCATTTGTTAATTTTAAACGCTTTAATTTTAAATTTAAAGTGCCTAGAAGTCACCAAGTGACATAATGAAATCATAAAAACATAAAAATTTCTGGCAGCCAACCCCAAAAACAAAAGCATTCATTTACTCAAACACATTAAAAGTGCTCAGAATTAACCAAACAGCATCTTGAATTTGTAAAATTTTCCTTGCTGCCCCCCTAAGAAGAAAATGATTGAAAAAATCTGAATTTCTTATAAATAGATTCTGTTTCAATTAAAACACCTTGAAAGGATCCAGAAATCACTGAATGTGATCTTGAACTGGTAAAAGTTCTCGGGCATTTATGCCCTTCTAGTACACCCTCCCCCTATTCCAGTATTTCTCCAAGTTGCTCATACAATATTTAGTCTAAAAACAATACGAAAACAATAAAATACTACAAAATATAGCGAGTAACCGACCCCCCCCCCCCCCTTGACTTACGCAATTTGATTTACGCGGCAAAAAATTGACAATTTTATTTTCTCTTTAGTTAAAACCGCACCCCCCTTGGAGAAAAGTGTCTTACGGGCCTGAGTCCTATGGTGATTTCATAACCTACAATTGTTAAACCACGTTATTTACTTCAATTGTTTGACTTTGTTTGACTCGTTTTGAATATAACTTATGAACTTATGAAATACAGTCATAAAGGCCAAATTTCGAAAACAGTTGATAAACCATGACATTTTTTCAGAAAATCGTATTTCTATCTAGAAAACAATTTCACTGCTTCATTTCGTCAGTAGAACGGCAAAAATAACCATTGTGCAATAATATATGGAAAAGTATATTCATAATGTACATGAATGACATTTGTATATTTCAGATTTTTTAGTTTTTTGTGCAATAAGCCTGTGCCGTCTTGTAATTTGAAGAATTTCAGCCATGTTAATCTTATTGAAAATAACATGACAGAGAAACATCCAAATATAAGAGGCCGCACACTTTATAAGCCAAACTAGAAGCAATCCAAGATATACAAATGTCATTCGTGTACATTATGAATATACTTTTCCATATATTATTGCACAATGGTCTCCCAATTTCTTATATTTGCCGTTCTACTGACGAAATGAAGCAGTGAAATGGACTCTAACCAGATAGAAAAAAGAACGTTGCCGTTGTGCTTTTAAACCAATACACATGAATGATGTAGTTTATATCCATAGGACCTTATAAAAGTATAACCATTGATTTATTATTTGATTTCTATTGATTGATTTATTTAGAATTTACACTGTTCTAACTGTAGCACTCTGACTGGTTGCGTCCATGAATTATAGTATTACAAGTACCACTCATTAAATCAGAATCTTTTTTTAAAAATCAGTGGTTCACATATTCAAATATGTATGTATTCAGTTATGTTAATGATAAAACAATGTGCATTTCATTGTGTTGTGTTTTTATTTCAGTTACATGTCCATCTCCATCTGCCAATGTGCCTCATCCTACGGACTGTGGCAGCTTTTACCAATGCTCTGAGAGCATTCCTTCTCTTAAGCAGTGTACACCGGGTCTTCACTTCAGTCAAACTCTTAATATATGCGACTGGCCGGCTAACGCAGGATGCGCCTCAGAAATGGGTACGTGCAAGTTATATATTTTTACACAGTTCATCTTGTATATTATGTTGGAAGGGGAATAATACGTCACACGTACGCCCAACATATACCAATGTGGCAATTTGGGATTTGATGGGGCAGTCATCAAGGTGCATGATTACTCCATGGGATTTGATGGGGCAAGTGAGATTTTGCCATATTGGTGCATACTAGACTTTGCAGTCACCTAAAATACTATAAACTAGAACCTTTATGTAAACAAATTATCTTGGCGGTCACGGCCACTGTTATTCAAGCTCAGCGATTGCCATGTATCTATAACATTATATTGGGTACATGTATTATGCATTTTGATGTGTGATTATTCTGTTCGAATGCTCTCATTTTCTTGAGCAGTGTATATCGGGTCTTCACTTTAAGTGGAAATATATTATTATGATTTTTAATGTCATATTTGTGTTCTAGTGGAATGCCCATCGCCATCTGCCTATGTGCCACATCCTACAGATTGTAGCAGCTACTACCACTGCTCTAATAGCATTCCATCTCTTCAGCAGTGTATATCGGGTCTCCACTTCAGTCCAACTCTCAATACATGTGGCTGGCCGGCGAGTGCAGGTTGTTCCGCGGGAGTGGGTACGTATCAGCATTGCATAGAATTTGTATTATTTAGATAATCAATCGTATATGTCGTGTAAGAAGGGGAAAGCATGCCACCTAACCATGCCTTTGGGAAACTGTTTTGTAAACAAATCATATTTATTTGCCACACCACTGTTACTAGTATTTATGCTAAATGAATGCATACAATATACCCTCTGTAAAGAAAAAAAGGTGCATGGTCCTTTATCAGTCATATTAATAAATTACTAAATATTACTAAATGCTTGGAGGCACACGGCATACATATTGTGAATGCCTGGTGGAAATTTTGAAAAATTAGATGAAAATTTGAAAAAGTTAGCAATGGTTAAAAACATTGTCTCACAAAAACTTACTGTGACATTTTCCTATAAATTACGTCATAAATTACAATTCGCTATTATACATTGTTATATATTTTCCTATAAGCCTAGGATATCATTCTTGTATATGTTATAATATTCATACCATTGTAAAGCCCATTCCAAACTGCTCACAACTGACAGGTTTGAAATAAACATTGACACACTGACAGAAAATTATGGAAGTGCCAAAACCTGTCTGTAACATGATTTTTAGACAATTTTACGACTTAAATATCAGTGAAATTAGGGATAGGGTGTAACCATTTTGCTCAATAAACACATTTTTACATCACATCTGACATAAATTTTGGTATGCATAAGCTATGTATAACATATTTACGGGTCATTAAGAAAGATTAAAGGTTACAATTATCTTACAATTTCGTTCCGACATTTTGTTTCCAAAACGAAACGTTTTGGTAACCAGCGTAATCGAGCGGATCACCAGTGCTCTAGTTCCACCTCTTTCACCATATATGAAGGATGAAGGAATAGTATATCAAAAAGATTCATGAGGTTAACACTCTAATTCCCATGGATAACTGAACTATGTAATAGCTCCATCTCTTTCACAATATATATGGAGGATGAGGGAACAGCATATCAAATAGATTCTTGAGGTTAACCCTCTAATTCCCATGGATAACTTAACTATGTAATTACTCCACCTCTTTCACAATATATATGGAGGATGAGGGAACAGCATATCAAACAGATTCTTGAGGTTAACACTCTAGTTCCCATGGATAACTGAACTATGTAATAGCTCCACTTCTTCTCCATATATATGGAGGATGAGGGAACAGCATATCAAACAGATTCTTAAGGTTAACACTCTTATTCCCATGGATAACTGAACTATGTAATAGCTCCACCTCTTTCACCATATATATGGAGGATGAGGGAACAGCATAATATCAAATAGATTCTTGAGGTTAACCCTCTAAGTCCCATGGATAACTGAACTATGTAATGATAAGTGCATGATTATTGTTCATTTGTTTTTCAGACTCTTCAACATCATCAACTGAAAACGGTATAATAACCCAAATGAGCCTGGCCAAAGGAAAACCGGTCTTATCACAAATTAAAATTGTGCTTAATTATAAATGTGCTTAATTCAAATTCGACTTTTTGGTCTATATATGCAAGGAAAAATTGTTAAGACATTAGCCATGGCTCATTTGAAAGGTCTCTTTGTGCTTTATGAGATAAAAAAAATCAGAATATTAAAAAAATCTGTGATAAGACCCTTTTCCCGTAGCCTGGTTTTAAACCATTGCCTTTTGATTTATAATTGCTATTAAATATAGTTCTTAAGATATCATATTTTTATGTATGTACTACGTTCAAGTCTTGAGATATAAAAGTACTTCTTGCTCTACATGGTGTCCAATAAATAAAATGAAAGATATAAAGACATTCTTAATGTTGCACCAATCTTAATGAAAGGGCAGGTTGTAACCAAAACGTTTTACCTTTGTTTTGTCAATATCCAGCTTTTCCAATTTAATTGGTCAGACTTATGGTTCCTATATTAGCCAAACCAACAAAAAGGCGGGGCATGTTTGTTTACGTCACAAACTTTCAAAACATATTTAATCTCTCTTGTAGCAATAAAATACTCAGGAATGTATCGGTTGGTATTTTAAGTGTGCAATGCGTAGTAATTTCTCCAACGTTGAGGAAACACTGCCTGGACAAGTGTTGGGTCGTACGACCACGACGTAAGTGGGATCGTAGTATATAACAAATAATGCATTAAATTATGTGCATACATAAGATTTACATTTTCATCTTTTATTTATTTTTCAGACGCTTCAACACCTTCAACTGAAAATGGTATAGTTATGGCAAATGGTGCTTCAGATTTTAATTTATATTATTCGTGCTGAATATGAAGATTTTTTATTTTTATATAATATATATTTGAGTTTTTAGATGTAAAAGCACTGTTATTTCAGTCTTGGAGTTAATTGATTTCTTGCACAAGAGCACGGAGCGACATCTATTAGTACTGTTCTGAGTCTAGGTCTCTAATATAGAAAAGCAAAAAGGATTTGATAACGAGCACCAAATCACGAACTATATTTTATTGGTCAGAAATTGCTTATTATCTTCTAATTTTGTAGATAAATCGTTTGTTTGTAACCCTGCTATCACACCAAACTAGTTCTCACTACGTTCTCGAAAACGGGCTCCAACTATGTACGAACGGACTGGACCTACTAAGAACCGTTTGGGATCTATTTACAAACTTCATCGAACGTACTCGAACGGGTAGGTCCTCTAGAACTCAGACAATGCTCAAAATGTTCTCGTGGTCGTCACGTTCTACAATTAGAACGAGTGAAAACGTACTAACGACGAGCTGGACGTACTACGAACGGAACCGTCGTACATCAATCCTACTAGGGACGTTTTAACAACGAGTTGAACTGTCTGAGGACGTGTTTAGAACGAGGTAGAACTAATTGCAAACGGGTTTAAACTGATTAAGAACGTATTTAACACTGCTTATGAACGAGTTAGCAAAAATATAGCTATCACACCAAACAAGTTGCCACTGCGTTCTCCAAAACTGGTTTTAAACTGTGTGCGAACGGAATGAACATAGCTGCAACTTTCTAAGGTCTATTTACGAACTTTATGAACGTTCTCAGACGGGAATGTGATTTTAGAATTTTGAATCGATTCAAAATTCGATGGCGACCATGCCGTTCTGTTATCAGGTCATGTTGACCTTCTAGACTAAGGGACGCGTTCTACTACGTTGCACACCGACGTGGTGCGACCTGAACGAACTGCGAACGAGATGGACGTATTGAAGACTGTTTAAGAACGAAGAAGCTAATTATTTCAGACATATTTCCCGACCACAACCAGATTGAGCCCGTTTTACGACGTTTTCGTAGGGCTGGCAAGAACGGGTAAGAACTAGTTTGGTGTCATAGGGGGGTAACATGCATGACAAAGCATTACACTCTGACGCCCTTAAACCCCGTTTTTATTTTTCTTGACCTTTTTGTCCGTACCGTCCGTTTCTCATTGACTTTCAAATTATCAAACCCGACTTTTGATTTCTCCCTCATTCTTTGTCAGTCAACTACTGGTTTGCTCTTGATATCAGTGAAGTACTCCAAATTGTATATATGCTATTTTGATCCTCTTTCACTTGAAAATGTTATTTTGCTTTTTATGAAAACACCAGACTTTTATTTTTTCCAAATTTAATTCTTTTTTCAGTGTAGGAAATTTCAGTGTTTCCATCAATATGCCAGTTAAGTCTAAAGTAAAACGCAAATGTATGAATGTTATACAGTGATGAAGGTTCACAGTCCCAAGAACATTAATTTTGCAATTGCTGGAGCTCTGAAAGACACCTCCGGAACAGTATATTTATAAGATGTTCTGAATGATTGGACCCTGGAGAATTAACACATATTGAACAGTATATTCATAAACAGTTCTTGTTTTACAATTACCAAAGTTATAATATTACAATTTCATTATATTAAACTAAAGGAATATTACGAAAATGTTAAACATACATTGCGGAAAGGTTTTATCTACCCCGAACCCACTCAAGTATGAGAAACACCAGTTATGTACTGTCGGCTTTGGATATAGGGTATATTCAGTCCCTCGGGGAGATATAAATATTTATCCTATTACAAGTGAGGTTCCAGGTACATAACAGCGGGATATAAAATCGATATCTTGGAGGAGCGGGACATATTAATACATGAAATTGCCTAATTGATAACAAATATGACATCACAAATCAATCTGGATATTGGAATGTGAATATGATTCCAACGAAAACAGTGTGCTCAAGTTGCCCGTTGTCTTCCAAACTCATGCAGTTTCACCATTCTGAGCACTTTTTAAATGATTTGGGCCATTTTGGAACACAATTGTCATAAGCGAATCCCCCCCTGGAATTTTTCAACCCCCCCCCCCCCCCTTGGCAAATTCTGGCTACGGGCCTGGATATTGTTCAAAGTAATCTTAAAGCAAATCATAGTTGGCTAACAATGAAGTTGTTACACGTAGATTGACTGAGAAGTTTGACGATTCTCACAACTTTTTAAATAAAGACTAATTTAAAACATGCACTTAGTCAAAAATGTGCATGCACTACTACTAATGATTTCTGAACTTCAAACGCTATTTTCTACGTGAGTTCTACGCATGTTATCCTTGGTTTTATATTACTGCAAACCAAACTTTTTATCATATTTAATTGAGTGTGTGAGTAACATGTTTCAATGATTATTTTTCCCTCTTTTCTTCTAAATTAAGCATATCGGGGCTTACATTGCATCAAACAAAATGAACCAGAAATGAATCACAGATGGCCAAATAATAAGCCGCGAACCTGAACCACAAAGTTCGAGCTTTCTCGATGGGCCCTTTGTCTGAAAATGGCCAGAAAACATCCCAAATTCTGAGACTTTAACCTCAATTGTCTACCCAAAATAAAGCTCAACTCACTACTGGATGTATCTCAAACATCATCTTTATTCCGTTTTTGACTGAAATAAACCTAAATTATCCTACACTTAGTCTACTAAATGTATAATAACATTGAAAAATAAATTTGATATTTATTGGCAAAATGAATATCCGGAGGATATCGTAACGATATACTCCGGGCGGAGGATATCGTGACGATATACTCCGGAAAACCCAATATGCGGAGGATATTGTGACGATATACTCCGCTTGTTGATTTCCCGCCAAATTGACTCTATTTGGCATGGAATTCATTTTGCAATGATAGTATACATTTAGTACACTCCTTGTAAGTGTAGGATAATAAGAACATCCTATGATTTTTTTCAGAATATCATTTTAATCTACTCGGTGATATTGATACATGCACTCGTTCGCTTCGCTCTCTCGTGCAGATATCAATATCACCTCGTAGATGATATTCGATGATAAATGATATTCCTCAAAATCATAGGATATCCTATAAATATCCAACACCTAGCCTAGATCACTCTGCAACTCCGTGTTCCAAGAAATCAGCCTTCTGATTGTTTGACTCATGGATGTTAATTGCTACAACAACACACGCCATCTATTGACAGAAATATTATTAGTTCCTAGTTTAAAACTCGCCTGAAAAGTACGTTGAAACCATATAAAACTAAAATACCTTATTGCTACGATGATGTAGATCGTAAATTGAAATCTAATGACACCATCTAGTGAAGTCAAGGACAACTCTTAGAAAAGTTTTAAAATGGGGATTGAACTTGGTGGTCGTCACATCATATATTTATGTCGTATTTTTGTTCCAGTGGTATGTCCATCGCCATTTGCCAATGTGCCCCATCCTACAGATTGTAGCAGCTTCTACCAATGCTCTAATAGCATTCCTTCTCTTAAGCAGTGTATATCGGGTCTCCACTTCAGTCCAACTCTCAATACATGTGACTGGCCAGCTAGCGCGGGATGCTCCGCTGGAGTGGGTACGTACTATTGTACTGAAATTTTATTTTTAATATCAAGTCGTATTACCCTGTAATTTATACAGGAATGTTTTATTTAAGCAATTCTTTTTTTTGGGGGGGGGGTAGCCCAGGGGTTAACTTTTGCTATTTTGAGTTGACATAAATGTTTTACCCGATGATATTTTGAACAGGTGTTTTATGTATGCAGATGTCATTTCTCTTTATCAGCACTAAATTCTATAAACAGTTTTTCTGAAAATGGCAATTAAAATTCAATCACTCTAAAAGTTATGATTTGACATTTAGTAGTCCTAAAAAGAATGAACTGAATCTATACCTAGGTGTGTCTCACATAAACACCTTGGCTTTATCTTATCTCTAACTTTTCTTTCAACTTCCACACTAGCCAATTTGAAATCCCTTTGAAGCGTTAAGTAAAAACTTAGTGGAAACCATCTAAATCTTATGTTCAAATATTTTATCTTATTTACCACATTTTGATTTCTGCGACATCCTCTATGGCGATGCAGATATTTCCAAATTAAAATGCATAGATCAACTTTACTACAAGGCAACTCTGATCTGTAGTTGAAATACCCATACCATGGGTCATCTTCTGAAAAAGTGATCAATATTCTAAATTGGCCAAAACCAGAGACGAGGAGGAAGTTTCACCGACTAACCCTCATGTTCAAAATTCAAAATCAGAAAGTTCCTTCATATGTTCAAAATTATTTGATGAATATAAGAGACAACAACCCCCCCCCCCCCCTCTATTTGAGAAATCCAACTGAATTTGTCTTGCCCGCTGAAAGATCTGTAATATTAAAGAAAACATGTTTTTACAGCAATCTCAGAATGGAATAAACTACCCCAACAACACCTAATTTAAATTGACACTTCTCATTTATCCAGAACCTATCATATCATCTACCTCATTGTATTTACCTAGATCAGAGGAAATCAGTCTTAATTGGATCAGAGTTAACATATTTTTTCAATCTTATTTTCATGCCCACAACTTTACTATGGCTAATACACCAAAATGCAAATGTGGATTCAAAAATGAAACATCCAAGCATGTCATCTTTAATTGCAGACTCCGTAGGATCCTCCTAACTGACCTCGAAACAAAACTAAATAACCTTGAAATCCAATGTAAATTGAATTTTAAAACTCAACAAGAGAAAATGAATTTATTTCGTTTTGGCAGCCCAAGATTTATCCGCGCTACAAGCATAACTGTTAATGAAACTAGTGCCTCTTTTCTCAAGAAGTGTGTAAGTGTCTGAGTGTTGGCAGCAATTCTCCTTTTCGCGGTTCGCTCTGTGAATCAGAACGTTTGCAAATATGCACTGAAAAAGCACTCAAAAAGGACAAAATTTGATTGGTCAATATTTTCCCACTATGCATTTCGCGTAGCTATTTGCGTGACACGAAAGTTCTAAATCAAACTAATTACTCAATTTTGTTTTTACACCCGCACGCTAAATAAAACAATGACACCATCGTAAGTATTCTTCTTTGTCATTGCTTAATAAAAGATTGTACAATGAACAACAAAATTCGGAAACGAGTACTATAGATTTGCTTTCGGACCACTGAACAGATTGACCTAGATAATAGCGACGCGTCTTCTTTGGTCTACTGCTCAGTTGTTTGTGGGTTTTCAACGTAACTCTATAATGTAATTTGAAGATGAATACTTTTATTCAGTTGTTGCAGCGATGTCGCAGTTTGTAGTGCGGTAAGATTGGCATGAAAGTATTGAAAGTCGAATGGAATTGTTTTTTCCAATATGGCGACACGTCTACTTGATCACGTGACCTTCTCTGCCGGAATATTTTCTCACTTTTCAATCATCGTTTTCACCACGCTATGAATTAATACAATGAAAAAAATAGCTGTTATATTAAGATTAATGAGAGATCAATCGTTTCTAATAATTTTTTCTGTACTCTCGTACGGGAATATGAACGAATATATCGTTTGAAAAATAGGTGTGAAAATCCCCATGTTAAACCTATGAGGGAAAATAAGGAAGTATAAATTTGTTCCTCCGCGAACTGCATCATGGGAAATATTTTGCCCTTATAAGGAAAGATTTTCGCGTCTTCTCTTTTGAAGAGGGAACAACGATTTCGAGAATTATCAAACCATCTATGTTTAATTTATTCACCACTTTGCTTCACCAAATTGATTGTTAATTTTGAATAAATATTTGTTAATTCACCTTGATGCTTATAATGTTAAACAAAGTCGCCTTTTGGAAAATTTATTTTAATATATATTATTGTAATAAATAAAATATTATAAATAAAAAAAAAATGTGCATTTTAATGTGTCGTATTTGTGTTCCAGTGGTATGTCCATCGCCATCTGCCTATGTGCCACATCCTACAGATTGTAGTAGCTTCTACCAATGTTCTGATAGCATTCCATCTCTTGAGCAGTGCATATCGGGCCTCCACTTCAGTCCAACTCTCAATACATGTGACTGGCCGGAGAGTGCAGGATGCACCGCAGGAGTGGGTACGTATCAGCCATGTATACTATTTATATTCCTTAGATATTTAATCGTATATAAGGAAAACATGGTACCTAACCATTAGTCCATGGTATGACTTCCGAATATGAAGGATCCGTAGAACACTATAGCGCAGCAACATCTGAAGCAATATTTATCAAGGTGTACATGTCTTGATTCTTTTAAAATACCATTTGCTGAAAAAACTTCCGGCTTTCGGGTCGAAAAACGTCTTTCATCACAAGGGGTCAAAAAACGTAAATATTTTGATTCGAACTTTTATACATTTTATAAGACACAGACCGTTATTCTAAGCATACGAACAAAAATAAATTATCATAATTTAAAAATATACTATTTAATTTTACCGTAGATGTCGGTGTTTAATAAGTGTAATTATGCAAGTGTGTTTTTCAGATTTTGTTTGATTTTTCAAATATAAGCCAAGCATATAATCGCAAGGGGTCTAATAGCAAATTATTGTTCATGTTTTACAAAACATAATACAATAACAAATAGGTAAGATTTATATCTAATTAAATGTTATAGAGGTATTGGAATGTTCATATATTCCAAGGGCATGTCTAATAATCTATTAGAGTCATATGCAATCGAACGCCTTGAAATTCTTCCTCGACGTTACTTGTGGCTATCATCAAGTTTTCTGATGGCTGGTTTGTTCTTTGACCTTACCGCTGGATACAATCAAATTTTAGGAAGATAATGATAACGATTTTTCTCAATTATTTATTCATTTTTATAAGCAACTAAGCTATATCTAACTACGGGAAATAGAATTTTAGCTGTAGTCCCAATTAGTCAAGGAAGAGCAATAGGCCCGCATTTACTGATAATTTTCACCGCTGAATAAAAGTCCATATCTCAAAACTTATTGAGACCCCTTTTGTGAAAAGCTAGCATAATTTAAACATTTGTCATTCCAATATAAAAGTGATTCATTTGTAACATTTATCTTATTAATACCTGAGACACAATACAAAACGTCGATACACTGATTACATATTTTTGGGTATTGATAAGAAAAATAACCTCAAACTTATAGCTTAGAAACCTAAATCATATATTTAAAATCATTTTGTATTATTTTCTGTTACATTGTGTACTCCAAATTGTGAAAATTGGGATTTAATTTTTTGGTGCTTTTTTGACCTCTGTTAATGGCAGGCATAATTCAGCCTAGAAGCCGGAAGTATATTGAACAGTTATAATTAAAATTATTGGAGGACATATATAGGTATGTTAATGTAAGGTCAAATATCGCTGCACTATAGTGTGCTACCAACTCCTTTATTAGACGTCCTAGAGATTTCATACCATGGACTACATGGCGCTATATTGTTAAGAGGTACCTTAATGTAAACACATCATCTTTGTCATCCACTGCAACTGCTAATTCAGCTCAGCTTTTGCCATTTCTGTTATTTGAAATTTGGTACAAACAGTGTATATGTGTATGGTTAATATTTTGTCAGACTCGTCAACATTCTCAACTGAAAATTGTAATATTAAATAATGCGTTGCAATTACCCGTTGTGCTTAACATAGTTTTTGATGCCTATATTCTTACTGGAGTCTATTTCAGTTTCAGTTAATCTTTTTTATTTCGGCCCTATACGTGTGAGTATACATGTAAATAAACAGCTACATGTTATACTTATAATTGGTACATAATGAAATACAAATATGCATGGTTTTGCATTAGAGCATACATTTTTGATACAATTCAATATTTTACCAGTTATGCTATAATTTAGTAATTTGCGCCATACAGCTCTATCTATTTTATGGAAACATTGTTTAAAATCTACAAACACAGTGAAAGTTTCTTCTTTTGCATATTGAGCATAAGATCAATGATGTTACTCAAATTAAATATTTTGTCATAACATTGCTATTGTTGTTATTGCCTCTTATAATTATTAGACTCCAGATTGAAAACTGTATTCTTATTATTAGACTCCAGATTGAAAACTGTATTCTTATTATTAGACTCCAGATTGAAAATCTGTAGTCTATTGCTTTTGCCAGAATTCTTTACTTTACACTTTTCCTCGCCATCAAGAAGTCGCTTGATTTATGAGTGATATGATTTTTATCCACGAATGGATATGATATCTGCACGAGCGAGCGTAGCATAATTTACCACTGATTACAAAAATACCGTTTTTATTTTGACATGTTATCCTAACATGTCATGCTAACTATGGAATAAGTTAAGGTATGTGATCTACTTTCTGGGAAACTAGTATTAAATAAGCCAAATTAAACACAAAGGTCACTTGCGCAGAATTAATTTTACGCTAAACTTTAAACTAAACCGTCTCTCCCAATCTTATGTAACGATATAAAAATATTTAATAGAGCCAATTATGAGCTAGATCTATTTGCTGGCAAACATCTACTTTTCACAACGGTCTGATGATTGTTGCCCTCGTTACCCTGACAACGAAAGCTTTAATCGCCATTGACAACAATCCCATCATGCGTCCAACAACAAGGAATACTTTACAGCACCGTGCAGTGGGAAACGCTAATGAGATATTAAAAAGCGAATATCTTACAGTACAACAATCCAAATAGGCATCTTCAAGGAAATATACAGTGTCACGTAGATCGTACACATGAATGATGGAGATTTTTAATAGTTTCATAACCCAGGGATGTCTACGATCATCTCTTACAGGATTCTTTGCGTTATGTTGCCTCTGGCAAGCTGCAGGAACAGGTGCATGTACGTATATCTTATAATTAGTGTAATATTATTATATTATTATATATTTTTATACTTTTAATCTGATACTATACAGTATTTATATTTACTCAAATTTAAGAACAATTCAATAAAATTCAATAAAATGAATAAAAATGAAACAGCATCCCTTTATTACTTTTTCATCAATATCATATTAAGATGTATTTATATAAAAGTGTGAAAGACACAACAAGGAATGTTTGGCGTATCAATTACTAGAATACTTTGAAAATATATAAAACATTAGATTATGAATATTCTTGAAAATTAGCAGCTGGTTTGTATGCATATGTAATTACAACAAATTAGATTGTCAATGTCTAACATTTCCAAATGATTTGAAAGCTAATTAATGAAGTTGTAAATATTGAGAAGCTTTTTCTTATTTCTTAACTTTCAGTTGGAATAGATACCGCGCATGATATGACATGTTATAAAAGAAAGTCAACTTTTACCATGACTATATTCTGACTATTTTGACTCTTGTTTTCTTATTTTTAGCAAATCAACGTTTCTAAAGCACTTGACAATACCTTGTCTAAATGGGTCGGCGTTGAAATGCAAAACTATGAAAACTTGCTATCCAGGGGATAGCGGAAGACCTCTTATTTTGATAAAAAAAATGATGAGAAAGTACTTTAACTTAAATATGACACTAAAGCTTAGAATATATTTGAAACAAAACCAAATATATTACTTCTATAATGAGAAAATCCGTATACTAAAGCCCATTTTGAATATGATGACAAAAGATTTCTTATCATATAATCGATTGTCATTTTTGTCATCTGTACATTTTGTCACATCTTTATCAACACGAACGTTACGTGCAATTTTTCTGACTGAATTGAAATGAGATATATTTTTATAATTATTATCAGTTTAATCAACAATATACCGGATTGTGAAATAAGATACGTAATCTAGATCAACAACAAGAACAATGGATATAACAAGAAAGTTAATCTATAATTCAGATCTCAATCTATCCTTCCTGCCATTTGCATTCAAAATTGATCGATTTCACATTGTATCATCGGATCAGATAATGAGCCTTTTAATCAATGTTAATCCCGTTTAATCGCCTCAGTTGCCGATACTCTCACCTCAGTAAGTAGTTCTATCCGGCACTTCTAGCTCGAGAATTATAGCGCCTGTACCTGAAACACCAACCCTACTTCAGATTTTGATTTTCTGTCAATATCTCAAATATCTCTGATTGGTTAATGACTTTTTGTACACTTAACGCATAGATGAAATGTTCTTTGATTGGTGTATTGTTTTGCATGTTACTCTGTGTTATAAACATGAACCTTTTATTCTTCCGTCCTGAGCGGATCTTATCTGCGAGAGCTCAAGTTATCACGAGGCTTATTGTGTTTGAGATGATTTTATTGTACATGAAAGATTTATTTTAAATGAACAAGAGAAGTCGTTTTACTAGACAAAACGGATTTCAAAATAGATAAAAAGTTGCAGTATGCAATGTACTTTGACATGTGAAATATGAAAAGAAGAATTGTAGCTTAAAAACGGTTTCATTTCAAATCATTTCACTTATATTGCAAAACATAAACATGAAACTTGTGTTTGTGTTATTTTCACAAGTATTTATAATAAAATCATGTGACAATCAATTCGTAACGTAATTGAAGTCCTGTGATTTACCAACATATTTTCATAATAACTGAATAGCGCATAGTCACGCCTTACCATCGACAACTTACTGTGACAAAATATACAGGTGTACACTTTAGCTGTTTGGAGCAAAACTTGTGATGTAGGTGTTAAACGATTTATCTAAGAAATATGATAAAGTATTTCATGTTTAATTTAATGTGCATGCTCTTGGCAAGACTTTTTAGTTTCAAATTACTTAACAGATTCTCAAGCAGGGCACGAGTTTTTTTCTAGGTAACTCCACTCACATCCATGTGAATTTAACCAACATTTTCCAAGCTGTAAATTATGTGGGTGGAATTAGAAAAAACGACAATATCCAATATAGCCAGAAAACAAACAACTAACAGACCAGTTGATGTCACTCGGTTCTGCGAAACGCTTGCACATTTCGAAAGAGAATTTATCATTCCAGGAAAATCTCCGATAATTAAGCTTATTGTAGATAGTGACTGCTAATACCGTAATCAATTGTACTTTAATGACCTAACAACCTCGTGGACTTAATAATGATAAAGCTGAAATCTATGCTACTATGGACTATTATTGTCTATTATGCTTAATAATTTAAAGAATACATTACAAGTTATTAGCATCAATGTGTTCCTAATTGAAAACAATAATAAACTATTGTTCGTCGATCCGACAAATATAAACCTCTAGGAAATGTACATCGGTTCAAATCTCCCCAGATTAAACGGATGCGTTGTATTTTCCATTTCTTTTGATTTGACATATCAATGCAAAAACTCAACAATAAAACTCAATAAAACAACAACCACAATACAACACATACTCTTTAATTGAGTATGTATGTGTTGTATTCTAGTCGTAGTTGATTTAGTGTATAAAAAGTTTGTACGTATATGTTTATTTCTAGTTCAACAGTATCAAGTGATGCCAAATTCTTGTGACAACAGTACTACTCCTTCAAAAGATTTAATAGAGACACAAGACAATTGCATTAGAACGTGTAATAATGCAGACAACTGCACAGCAATAGAGATCTACAAAGATCGATGTAGAGTTTTTACGATCTCCGAAGAGGATTCACTGGTATTTGGAACGGTTGATGGCACTACTCATCTTAGGAAGACAAAGACATGTATGTATATTTTCTTTAAAAATATGAACTATTATGTGGATTTCAAGCTGATTGTCAATAAAGGCTCTGTTATTTATATTTGAAATCTCGTTGAAGGCTCGTTCTGGAGATTTATTTAAACATCAATGACTTAAATCGTGTTCAATTTGATGATTCTAATAGTCAAAGATACAAATAGCTGATAATTCTTTTAAGTAGATGTCTATTTGAACAAAAAAACTATATTGTTTCAGCCTCTGGTATATGTGAGGGCAAGTACATCAGATGGAATGTCACGAGAAACGCTAAGATAAAAGAGGGCATACATTCACAAATATTGCGAACAACAAAAAAAGTGCTATACGCGTGCTTCGAGGACTGTTTGGCCAGAAAGGATTGCGTATCCGTCAGTTATAACCAAAACAAAGGAAGATGCTTCCTATTTAATGAGACATTGGCTCAGACAGACGAGACAGAGAAGTCTTATCCTGACGGCAAAGACCAATATGAGTACACTTGTGTTGACCACCCGTTTGGTCAGTCTAAACTAAAGTTATATGCATGTATATATGCAAATACAGGAGATATGGAATGCATGCAGGAAATGGAAATTTTTAAATAAAGCACATTTATTCCACGTTCGGTTTTCTAGTGCATGCAGTTTAGTAGCCCAAATGTTTCCTTCTGTTTATTGAATTGGTAATTGCTATGTCATCATCGATCGGTGGTTAGTTATTGGCGGGAGGTGGTTGGTGGTTGGCGATCAAAGGGTGGTGGTTGGCGGTTGTCGTCTGTAACAAATTCTTACAATTTCCAATAACTTCACAAATACTGTTTTTTCAAAATCATCTACAAGTTTTCTGAATTTCAAATCTGACTTTATATTTAAACTTTGACCTTCAATCACCTTTCAAGGTATAAAAAAGGTCAAAAGGGTATTTTTCAACTTGCTTTAAATTGACCATTTTTCAAAATCATCTACAAATTATCAGAAGTTCAAATCTGACTTTAGATTTGAGATTTGACCTTCAATGACCTTTTCAAGGTGAAAAAGTCAAAAGGGTCTTTTTCAACTTGCTTCAAATTGACCATTTTTTCAAAATCATCTACAAGTTTTCAAAAGTTTAAATATGACCTTAGATTTAACCTTCAATGACATTCTCCAGGTCGAAAAGTTTTGACCTTCAATCACCTTCTCAATGTTAAAAAGGTCTTTTTTCAACTTCCTTCAAATTGACCATTTTTTCAAAATCATCTAAAAGTTATGAGAAATTCAAATCTGACTTAAGATTGAACTAATAATATTAGATTTGAGATTTCACCTTCAATTACCTTCTCGGGATCAAAAAAGGTATTTTTCAACTTGCTTCAAATTGAACAGTATTTTTTAAAATCATCTACAAATATGTGAAATTCAAATCTGACTTAGGATTGAACTAATAATATTGTGAGCAACAAGGGGGTGACATTTTGTCATGTTAATGCCTTGTTTCGTTCTTGTCCTTGCTCATTTTGAATTGTGCTTACATATTTACTTTCACGTATTCAAACAGGGTAAAAATATGATTTTTAAACGTTATATTTACATTACCCTATTTGCAACTTCTGGGTCTGAAACTTGTATTTCATTAGTTACAGTTGCAGTACAGAGAGGTGTAAAACTACCAGTTTATTAGCTAATTTTGTCCTCATTCGATAATATAATTTTGTACCTACTAACGGGTCTCTAAGCTTCTTGAAGAGCTTATAATAATGTAAAATATGTTTCAGGATCAACACTACCGACGACAGCACAAACACAACCCAAAACAACTGAACCTACAACAACCACAACATCTACAACCATAACAATTGAATCTGCAACCAGTACAACTGAACCTACCACTCCAACTGATCCTACAACCATAGTCACTGAAGATACATCCACAACTACTGAACATGCAACCACAAAAGCTGAATCTACAACCATTCCAACTGAACCTACAACCACTCCAACTGAATCTACAATAGTCACTGAACATACATTCACAACTACTGAATATGCAACCACAACACGTGAACCTACAACCACACCAACTGAACTTTCAACCACAACAACTGATTCTGCAACCACCTTATCTGAACAAACAACCGCAACAACTGAACTTACAACCACAACAATGGAACCTGCAACCACAATGATGGAACCTGCAACCACAACAATTGAACATGCAACCACAACAGCTGAACCTACAACCGCAACACGTGAACCTACAACTAAAACAACTGAACTTACAGCCACAATTACTGAACCTGCAACCACAACTGGAACTACAACCACAACAACTTCTAGAACAACACCTATTTCATCAACAACACCCAGAACCACAATATCTATAACATCCACAACACCTACAACCAACAATACAACACCTATTCTAACAACCATCACAACTACTGATTCTGTAAAGAGTGCAACGAAATCTACAGTAACAAATACAACCCCCATGATAATTCCTACAACAACAACGGTGGATTCAAACCAAACACCCATAAATCCTCATGAAACATCTCCAATTATGGACAAAAAGATCTTGGAGGCTGACACGGGATTTTCAGTTGACATTTCAAACAGAAAGATTGTTACTACCAAGAAGGATATAGGAACAACTGTAAACCTGGAGAATTCCGTTGGTTTTGTAAAGATTCCACCACTAAGAGGTCAATGGGGTATTGGCCAAACTCCAGTTGTAAGTACTTCATCAAACAGATTGTGATTGATTTTTCAATAGCTAAAGAATCGTTAGTATAAGATCGAAGTTGGGATATTAGTTGCGTTTTTTCGTTTGGTTGAGCTCGAAGATGTTTCATTTTTCTCTGTTTAGTAAAACGCTTTGTTGTACATTTATTGTGTATCAAGGTTATATACCAAAGTATCTGTAGGCTAATTCACATGGCCTTTTCATATTCCATTCAGATCGCCACTGCTGCCACCAATTGTTCAACAGGGTCGTGCAATGGAGCAGATCTTCCAGTCATAGCATTGGCTATTTTTAATCCGAATGGTGATCAAATGGTGGAACTTGAAGACGACTTTACTAACGAAGATGAAGGCTTTGAAATATCTTTAAATATACTAAAGCATAAAGTCTTTTCCGAAATGCAAAGGGGGACTGTATTGGAACCAAACTCAAGGGCTGTATACAGTTTTCCTATAACAACCCGGACGAACGCTTGGTTTATAGGTTTCAATATAAATCAAGAATTGTCATTTCATATTAGGATGAAAACCGGAGCACAACCTACGTCAGACAATTTTGAGAAAGAAGTTGTTCTTGGAGCATCTTCAAGAGTGAAACGAGAAGTACTTGATAAGGCTGATGTTACTAATAATACGTTAGTAGTAACAAGTAATGGGGAACAAAGTGGAGGTAGCATGTATGTTACCATAGAGGCAAATGGTAAGATGTTACATTATTATACTATAATATCAATTTGCATATGTAAAATCAAAAAAACATAATTTCTCAAAACGGTCACATTAATGATGTGATTATCTGAATAATCTCTTCAATGATGTTGACACATTAATGATGCGATAATTTGAATAATCTCTTCAATGATGTTTACACATTAATGATGTGATTATTTGTATAATCTCTTCAATGATGTTGACACATTAATCATGTGATTATTTGGACGATCTCATCAATGATGTTTACACATTAATGATGTGATTATTTGTATAATCTCTTCAATGATGTTGACACATTAATCATGTGATTATTTGGACGATCTCATCAATGATGTTTACACATTAATGATGTGATTATTTGTATAATCTCTTCAATGATGTTTACACATTAATGATGTGATTATCTGAATAATCTCTTCAATGATGTTTACACATTAATGATGTGATTATTTGTATAATCTCTTCAATGATGTTGACACATTAATCATGTGATTATTTGTATAATCTCTTCAATGATGTTGACACATTAATCATGTGATTATTTGGACGATCTCTTCAATGATGTTTACACATTAATGATGTGATTATTTGTATAATCTCTTCAATGATGTTGACACATTAATCATGTGATTATTTGGACGATCTCTTCAATGATGATAATGACACATTAATCATGTGATTATTTGGACGATCTCTTCAATGATGATAATGACACATTAATCATGTGATTATTTGGACGATCTCTTCAATGATGATAATGACACATTTATCATGTGATTACTTGGATGATCTTCACAATAATTATAATAATACTTACCGGATTTTCTCGCATATACGCCCCCCTAAATTTAGGCCCATGGGCCAGAAATCGAATGTAGTACGCTTATACGCCCATGGGCCTATAAAAAATGACTATTTATTGATTTTTTCAATAAATTCAAGAGTATTTTATCACTGGCAGATCGTTCTGTCGTTATTTTGTTTCAACATTAAGTTCAAAGCTGTGCCGTAAGTGGCAGTGGTGGATCGTTCTGTTGTTACTTTGTTTCAACATTAAGTCCAAGGTTGTAGGTGACATTTCCTTTATAAATCTTACAAAACATGCAGTAGGACTACAACAGTAGGTACGGTAGTCCATCGTATTCATCAGCTCTTCTCACCTTTACGCCCACTGGGCGAAAAATCGAAAGTAGAACACTTATACGCCCATGGGCGAAAAATAAGAGGTAAAATAACAGACGAAATTACCCCTTCTTTCAGTTATACGCCCAGGGTTTATATGCGAGAAAATCCGGTATGGTCAAAAATCTGCATGCATGAGTCCTAAGTTGATGTACATGTATATCCATGTCGCCCTGTATATGATTTGATTAAGGTTGGAATAAGACGAATCTAAACTCAACTATGTATGACTTTGGCATATTGGCTATAGAGCCTATACAATGGGACGCCAGAGAGAACACTTGGGTAGCCGCCACATCTAAGGTAAGGTTTTTACAATTAATAGAGATAAATTCATATTGAAACATACATATTGATGATTAAAATCCAATTCAAACATGACCGTGCTCTATTCGAATTTCTCAACCAATCAGAATGCAGCATAGCCAATATAGAACGTTCTCTAATTCTCCATAGATGCACGACCATGCTCTATTCAATCTGCAATTTGCATTGTTTTGAGTGACGTCACATCTCAGCTGCACATCTGGGGCTCTGTCCGGGGATAGCTGTTCTTTTTTACTCCCTCCTTAACTATTTTATTTTACCAACACCCCATGTTTGCATACATCGTATAAAATCTAAAACGGGGAGTAAAATAGAACAGCCCAAACAAATTCTAAAATTTTTCCGGCCGACTTCAGAATCTTGACAGCATGCGTATTCTTCCTTCATGCCCGTTCAACAGACACGGCTTTTACTAATTTTTATGTTTGAATCGGAATAAATAATGATAGGCCATTCAATATGGTGAAATTCAGCACTCGTTGGACAGAATGTTAGTACAAATGCACTCACCTTCGGTTCGTGCTTTGTACAACATTCTGTCCAACTCGTGCTGAATTTCACCATATTGAATGGCCTATCATTATTTATTCCTTAAATAAAAGCTGAAGACTAGATGAATGAACGAATTGGGTTGTTCGACATCGTTTCTATATAAACTACACAGTGAGATATGCCGAGTACTAAAATAGTACTCATGGCATTCTGGCACTAACTGAGTACTCATTTCAGTAATTATTAGTACTAAATTAGCACTTATGACATGAGTACTGATTTATTGCATGTTTTAGTATAAAAAGAGTACTCATGTGATGAGTGGTAAATTAGCGCTAATTTCATCGATTTTTCATTACTCAATGAGCATTCATAAACATGCCGAGTACTCAGTTAGTACAAAATTAGTACTAAATTAGCACTCGTGGCATGAATGCTAATTTAGTATTGATTGTGTACTAATTGAGTAATCGACATACCTCCTTGTGTATCTATAATTGCATTCATTGTTTGGGTGGACTGACTTTTTCACATTAGCCCTTGAATGGATTTTAATTCTATGTTTCCATTAACCAATCAGTTTGACAAGCTTATTCACTCAGCAATATACAAATATATGAATTGTTAAAGGCAAAATCAGATCTTTATGGATTGAAAAAAGTGCCAGTTAGTCAGATGTGCAGTTGATTTACCAATGTATTCCTTACACTCTAAAATGTTAAAAATATATTATAAAAATATGAAATGCATTATTGTAATTATTATTGTGTAGTTGTCCTCCAATAAAGTATACACATGGATTTTTAGAAAAGATTACATGACAAGACATGATATGAGCCCAAAATGTTCTAAAATTGAAAAGAATCTTAATAGCCGGAATACTACTTCCCAGCTTACTAGATCTGATACTACCTTCAATTGAATCAATCATAATGCTAATTTTATTGTTAGCAAATGTTAGATGATGTATGTAAAGTATGCCTTATACAATAATTTGATTTTCTAGGTTTCAAATACATCAACCAAGAAGAACATATTATTCAGGAGTAAGTTCTTTGGTTCGTTCAGTGCAAAACTATTCGTACCTCCGAATACAATAGATTTTATCTCAGTGTTCAGTGATTTTGACACTAGATTGGCCGATAGTTATACTGTTTTAGTGACTATCATCATTCTTATTGTCTTCTACATTATCCTGATGATTCTCGCAAGACGGTTGGACAAAAGGGAGAATGATTCAGTAAGTCTTTGCCATATTCTGCAATCATGAGCTTGATCTAAGTGTTAAATAATATTACAAATGCTTTATACATTTATACACAATCGGGCAAGTAAACAATACGCTAGACACATCCAAATACTAGATAGTTCTTTGAATTGAGTACCTTAACTGCTTTATAAACTCCTGTAATCTGCACTCGTTTTCTTGAAATCCTAATTTTTAGAGGCAATATAGACAGTTGGCAGACAACGACTCGAACGATCAATTCAAATACACCATACACGTATTTACTGGGTCAAAATACAAGGCTGGTACTGACGCCAATTGTTTCTTTCAACTCTACGGTGATATGGCCGATTCAGGGCCTAGAAAACTCACTGACGGAAAAGTGGCGGTGAGTACCAAATTTGTTTTTATGCAGACACTTGGTGTAACTTGTATATAATCAATTCACTTTATTATGGTTGGTGGACATGCCAAGTATACACCCATTGTTTGCGCATTTTTGCAGATGTTAGATTCCGACCGTACAGATATAAAATGTCAAATACGTGGACATAACTTACGCCTGCGAAGCTGTTAATTCTAGAGGCGTCCAGTTGACACATAAAGGCGTTGAAACTGATCTCGCATTAATTAACGCCCTCTGTCCTATTGATCAGAAAACCGTCTTGACATCTGTCACTTTCTGTTTGCATCGATGTAATTTTAAGTCTTCACGGGCATAAAAACGTTTACACCTTTGCAAACAACACCTGCATTCATTTGGTATTTTTGCTAACCCTATTTTCTGGTGAAGAACACGTGTTGATTTTTTAGAGATAAAATATATACGACTCTTAATATTTAAGTGTGTAGCTAGCACCGAGAGATTCTATATACACTACAATGTAACACAACCTTAACTTTGACTTTATAATAAATAAATAATGATTATCAGCCTTCCAGGTCTCCTTCACATTATACATTTAACAAACCATTCCTATTACACCATCGTACACAGTCTTTTGTTGTCAAGCGCAACAACTTCTGTTTTAGGCTCTTCGTTCGGGTTGCCTTGACAATTTTGTGTTTACAACTGACAGGCAGCTAGGAGACATTCTCTACATCAGAGTTTGGCATGACAACAGTGGTAGAGATAATCATTGGTATCTTGAACGTATTGTCATCCAGTCGATTTTTACTGAACAGTGGTAAGATATTTTTCTCATTTTAACTTATTCATTGACATTAACTAATTTCTGTTATTTTTATCCAATTAAATTCTCCAAACATCATTTATCTTATTTAATTGCAACACTTAAGTTACATTCCGAGTTAGTTTTTGACGAGACTAACAGTCTGTAAATAGTGACTCGAAGTTCTGAAAATATGAAAATACATAGTTGAAAAAATATACTCCTTTAATTTTAGCCAAGTCTTTGAATGCAACAAATGGCTGTCATTGAAGAAAGGTGATGGACAAATTGATCGTCTGCTAGCGGAAACCGGAAATGATAATAGTTATAGTGAAAAGCTGAACAAACAGGCACGAAATGCAGTCATGGAACGGCATCTTGTGATGTCACTACTGAGGAAACCAGGAAGTAGCCGCTTTACGAGGACACAAAGGTTATCTGTCTGCATGTGTATGTTATGCCTAATGATGATATCAAGCGCGATGTGGTACAACACCGAAGAACAGAGTGGAACCCATATTCACTTGTTCAGTATGGGACCGATAGATGTCAGCTGGCATGAATTCTACACTAGTTTCCTAACAATCGCAACAGTTTACCCAATCACTTTATGCATATCAGAATTGTTCAGAAGAACTAAACAATCACACCGATGCACAATGTCTGAGCTGCTGTCGACACAACGCGAAGATATGAAACATAAACCAAAGGCTCAGTTACCAAGATGGGTTTTACTCCCTGCATGGTGTTTAGTTGCCTGTTGCATCGTTGCGCCGTGCTTTTTTACCTTTCTATACAGTTTGGAATGGGGTTCTGAGAAATCCGGAAAATGGTTAGGTTCATTCGCCATTTCCTTTCTGGAAGCAATTGTTATACTGGACCCTATCGTGGTACGTTTATGCCATTTACAAAGTTTTATATATATATATATGTGGTGCATTGTAGTATCCAAAGTCTATATTATCCCTTGGAATAGACAAACTTTAGATAAAGAGAGACTCTGGTGAATCAGAATGAAAGTGACGCGGTTTTATTCAAGCAGGGGCAGCTGGATACCAATCTCCCAACTGATTAACTTAAAAATCCCCGATGCTCCATTTTAAAAAATCGTTGTCAGATTATGTTTTCTTTTCTCTTCGCAATTTCAATATCACATGTAGAATAAATTATCACAACACTTGAAATAACAACGAATCGTTGAGCTTATTGGGGAACTTGATCTACTCTCAATCGTCTCTACCAATTTTCAAACAATCTCGTTCGACTGTTGATGAATGATGTTTTTGACGATTCCTTACTATCAGCGGTCAGTGTTAAAACGGCAACGCAAAACTTGAATCAACAATGAATCAATTTATCAATTCATCATTATAATTGATCGTAGAATGTTTTCGTCCAAATTTTCATGTTCAAACTTTCTTTAATTATGGAAAATAGATATTGCAAAATACAGAAACAAAAACCTTTCTTTTCAGTTGTTGCTCATAGCAATCTTCATGTCATGCTTATTCAAATTTCCTAACGACATGCACGACATTGAGGCACCGACATCAGAAGAACAAATCACTCCTTCTGACCAACATCGACAAAATATAGGATTGAGGGGTAAATATATTGAATTGTATACTAGTAGTAAAGGTTTTTTATTCAACAAACTTTTAAATAATGGAATAAAACTTTGTCAGAACTAAAAATATAGGAGTTGAGTTTCACTGGGGTGGAGTTTCACAGGGGTTGAGTTGACTTGGAGTTGACAGATATAGGGGTTGGGTTGACTTGGGGTTGAAATGACAGAAAGCTGTTATCAATTGGTGAAGTTATTACAGATTAACTTATGCATGACAAGGAATAATATAACCCAAAATAATGAGATTATTTCTTTTATTATATCACCACAAAAATGTTGTTGCATTATTTTAACGACATATAGCTCCTGACCCACCAACTGAAAATGATCTTAAAGAGAGACGGAGTGAATACAAGAAAGATGACAGATTGGCTAAGGCTGTAAAAGAGATCGCCACGTATATATTTTACATTATGTTACTTTTGGTGATCTGTGATGATAATAGGACGAATAATGAATTCTATCAGAGTGAATCAATACGAGAACTAATTAAGCTGTCGAGCAAAACAAAGGTAGGAGCCAAAAAATATATATTTCTAGAACCATTGTATCACAAAGCTTCAGACTTATTCTTGCCATGCTCATTTGATTTGTTAGGTTTTGAAATAAAATGAAAGGGTGCAAATGTTTGTATCATTTAGTAAAGATAGTTATTGTGGTCAAATATTTCGGAAGTAACAAAAACTTCAATTATGTTCGAGAACACGTAGGTAGGTTATGTTCGTGTACTGTAAAATGAGTTGTTTTTAGTGATATACATATACAAATGTTCGAAAATGGCTATTAGAATATCAGTGCAGCGTCATGCCATTGTTATACAATTTCCAGTCATTGGAGATTAGAGCAAACTACTGTAACTGTTTTGTTACTGTTTATTAAATATCTACATTTCAGATTCAGAAACTAAGAAGATTTGATGATATCTGGCAATGGTTGGAGAATGATGCTTTGTTAAATCTGTATCCACTGACGACTTACAATGGGGACTACCTGACTGGCATGAGTCTTGATTCCCTTGGATCAATCATCCACATGGATGGGGTGAGGCTCGGCCCTTCAAGACTAAGACAGATCCGAACAAAACAAGGTACTTTACATCCTTTGCCTACGTACTGTTATTTTGCTTAAATCTGTTTTATACATTTTTTGTATTCAATCATTTATTAAACGTCACATAATTTTACTTGATTTTTGAATATTTTGCGTAAAGGGGAATGTCAGATTCCATTTGAATCCAACAAAATTGGTGTTGACCACTGCAAACCTGATTATACCCAATATACAGAGGACGTGCAAGATTATTCAACATCCTGGCGAAAAAAGCACGAAGAGAACGATGGTTTTGTCTCAACAAAGCGGCAGCGTCCTTTCTTATACCAAACAAGTTCGGAAACGGAGAATATGATCCACTTTGGTGAATTAACTAACTATGGGGGTGGAGGCTATATTGCAAACCTTGGAATTTCACGACAGGAAGTGACGTCATACTTGAGAAAATTGAAATATGATAACTGGTTGGACTCTAAAACAAGGGCATTGTTCTTTGAGCTGACATTATACAATGCTAATACTAATCTATTTACTAATGTGAAAGTGGTATTCGAAATACCTGCTACTGGAGGCTTCATTCTCAGTGACGAAATCATATCATATCGCCTTTACAACTATGTCGGTCCAAAATCGTTAATAATAGTAACCGCCCAAATCATATGGTTGATAGTGCTGATCACATTAACAATAAAAACAGGAAAAGAAATATGGCGACAGAATAAGAAATATTTCATGGAATTTTGGAACATTATAGAACTGCTGAATATATCGTCTGCATTTGCAGCTTGGGTTTCTTTCGGATTTAAGTCATTCTATGCAGTCAAGGCAGTTGAAAAGTTGCGAAATAACAAAGGTTGGTAAAATGTTTTTAGATTACTTATACTGTTAATATTTAGTTTTCAACATCAAACGAATGGAATAGGTGCCTGGCTTTGACTTAAATTGTTAAATGCATAATCAGTCATCCGTCATGTGGAGTACATGTAGAGTACATGTGAGGATTGTGTCATAAGCTTTCTGCCCGAGAACTTCAGTCGGAGGAAATGTTAGTTGTCACTCGTTAGTTTTTGTGACTGAAATTCCCTACAAAATTTCCCCGCTCATCACCCTAATTTCCTGATTTTGAGAGAACATGTTTGAGCAACAATAAAAAGTCAGTGAGGCAAATCAGAAGGTGGTGTCAAATTACAATAGAAGTTTATTTTGAACTGTGAAGTGCAGACATATCTTCAAAATCACCAAAAAGTCGAGTGACATTCTACATTTCCTCCAAGCCTTGGATTAACACTATTCTAGTAGCCTACCCTGCAGAGTAGTATAATAACAAAACCGATGTGGTTTGGTCGGAAAGTATATGTGCACCTAGTACTTAGAATTTTGCAATTTTACAAGCTCCTTATTGATTTCAGGTGAATTTGTGATGTTTGAAGAGGCGAAGATTTGGAATGAAACATTTGTGTCCATATTAGCTATCAATGTTTTCATCGGCATTGTTAAATTCGCAAAACTCCTGAAGTTCAACAGGCACATCTCGATAGTGTTTGCTACCCTTAGGATAGCTAGATCCAACATAACGTCATTTGTTATCACAATTCTGTTGATATACATGGCATTTGCCTCAGCGGCAACTGGCGTATTTACCACTGAAAAATCATTTGCAAGTATAATCACGACATTTGAGTCGTTGTTCACAATGGGACTAGGCCACAGTAAATTTAATAGTCTCTTCACAGAGAGCACGCTCCTCAACAGACTGTTCTTCGCTGTTTTTACGACCTTCACGCTGTATGTTGTATTCAATATGCTTATGGCTATCATCATCGACGCCTTTAATGAGGTTAGAGAAGATGAATCTTCGTATAGCTATGACAAAGAGCTTGTTGAACATATCATGAAAAAGTTTGCAGTTTTCGTTAGATCATTTATGACTTCGTACAATCTTCAAAGGACTGAGCCTGAATCCAAAGAGGAACCGACTATACACAGTAAGTGAATGCAATCTTACAATGTAGCTACAATTTCACATGTAAATAATATCTAACACCTTATTCACTTGAGATGATGATGAAATCAAAAATAAATATTATTATCGTATATTATCTTAACAAAGAAAAGTTAATGTGTTACCTTTTTTCAGGTAAAGTGACAAAAGGTGATAAATCGTTGATGGCAGCGGAAAAATTCGATGATAACAAGGTCATTGAAAAGGTTGATGATCTTATGAACAGGTTATATTTAGTTATGAAAACAGAGTACCAGTAACTGAATGGATTTTAAAATATTTGAATGACGAATGCATCAGTAACTATAGGGATTTTAGTATTTGAAGAAAACATCAATAACAAAATGGATTTTATATATTTGATAATGAAGAGAGTACGAGTAACTGAATGTAATAGATAATCGGGTTGAGTAGAAGTTACAAGTATGGAGAGATGGTATGACTTCTATTTATATATACGACAAGGTTAAGTTATAGCCAATATGAAAGTCTTCTTGATTTAGATCACTTTATTAGACTATAGATGTATTGTAAATGTTATAATTTATTCATTGCATATTTTACAAATAATCTTGTATTGAGTGGTCCATTGTGATGTAAAGCAGAATGCTACCTTCTCCGTCTACAAAGTTAACCATGCATTTCACCATCAACAGGTCTGTATCCAGGATTTTCTGGGGGAATACCAATTAAAGGGGGTGTTGTATGAATAGAAAATAGTAATTCAAGCTCTTTTTAAAATTTGAAATAGATTTTCCAAAACAAAGCGAATTTGCTATTGGAAAATTGGGCTCATTTCGGTCAATTTCGACAGAAAGACCCCTTGAACCCCCATCATCCTCTTCCCCGGCTAAGGGCCTGTTCAAAGTAGAATGTTAAAGTTGAGTCCAAGTTATATCAAAGTTGGAATCTAATGGTAGATTGAGTAAAGTAATGGTGACCTCCTGGAAGTACAAAGTAAAATATAAAATTAGTAATCATTTTTTAACAAATAACTCTCCTTTGTTATCTTAACATTTATTCAAGAATATTCATGTATATGCCATTTGTGTAGCCTATACACCTTGATGGAAACCATTATCTAGTTGTACATTTTTTCAAGTGAACATAACCAAATGCATTAATTCTGATCAGTCTTTCTTAATATAATGTAATTTAACATGTAATGATAATGTACATACTACTAACATAACAATGATAATGTGTGCAATAAAATTGATATTAAATAGAAAATAAAAAGTTTGAGTTGCACTTACGCCATTGCCAGATTGTGTCCAGGAATCGTGTTTAAAGTTGTTAACTCTGATTTCCGAAACTGTGGAAAGTCCAAGACCCATTATCCTTATAGAATCCAGTGTCAGTCCCGTAATATACCCTTGGTTATTAACCGTACCCACTAAAAGACCATCATACTGTCCGATCTTGAAAAATGAAATGGAATGAATGAGACAACAATATTTCGATATCTTTTATCATCTATTTTATTTACTGAGAAATAGCAGCGCAAAAGATATATGAAGGAATCTCCTTTGACTGTGAAAGGAAATTATAGTAAATGTAATTAAAACCTGTTGTTCATGGTGAACATTGGCGAAAATTGAAATTGTGGAAAATTAAAAGAAACAAAATTTCATGCCATCTATGAAAGCTTTGAAAATATGATTATATGAATAAATCCAATTATCTTTATCAACAGCTAGGGTATGGTTGTACTGTATTGTATGGGTTGGATGTCTAATCTCTGTTGGAGGACGATATCTCATTACTTATATTGATATGGATGTCTTACCATGGATGCTTCATACGTAGCCATGAAATAGTCGCCACTGACATGTGTATCTATAATTCAATTAATTGATTATATCAAATATGTGTTTTATTGCCAAATTACACGTATCTTTGTACAAAGAGAATATGTTATCATTAATGGATAATCATTTGTTTTAATATAATCACTGACATCTTACTATTTCCTATTCCTTATTGACCCATCTCAGCGATAGAAATGACTAATTGGACTGACGTATTGCCATATATATGACAACATCCAAACTATTTACATGCATAGCAAGTAAACCTCTAAAGTATTTATTATTCAAAGTAACAAATCGTGTAAAACTTACCAAGCGTCTCTCCGTCATCCCAGAATAATTCACCAGACGCTGCCATTGCATCATCCAAGGCGACAATCAACCCCATAGCATTAGTTCGACTGAAATCAAAAATGAAATATCCTTAGTAAATATCTAAGCACATGTGCCAAAGGGAAAGGACCAAAAGTTGTAATGGAACTTAGCAAGAAAAAGCAAACTCTAAGTGCATACCAGTCAAGAAAAACAAACCCCATATATCCCAAAACCATAATCTAACGTGAAAAGAAACAATGTCTAATACCCCCTGTCCCTCACCATTCAAGAGCCGATATCACAATCCAAGACCAGAAGACCAAGAGACATTTCATTCATACTGAATTCATTACAATACATGTTGAAGAAAAAATTAGAAATTGATAGCCAATACTCATAACATTAAATAGTTGTAGATACAAGTACTCATACAAATATATGAGCACTAGTGCCAAAGGGAAAGGACCAAAAGTTGTAATGGAACTTAGCAAGAAAAAGCAAACTCTAAGTGCATACCAGTAAAAAAACATAGTCCAAAACCATGATCTAACGTGAAAAGAAACAATGTCTCATACCCCCTTTCCCCCACCATTCAAGAACCAATATCACAATCCAAGACCAGAAGACCAAGGGACAATACTCATAACCTCAAAAATAGTTGTAGATACAAGTACATGTACTCATACAAGATAGAGCATTCAGCCTCAAATGATGCGGGATAGATAAAATCCAGTCTCCAAGTCCATAGGATAGAGCATAGAGATATTGATAGATTTAGCAACGGTTTACTCGACAGAGAATACTTTTTTATTACAATATCCTGTACACAAAGAGTCACAAAAACAAATGGCAAGACTTAAAGAAACAGATACACCCAAAAACACAAAGGAATTGACTAGCACGGGTGGCACCTTAGGCCGACTGGACAAATATAATTCCTGATATGATTTTGAACATATACCTTGCCATAGTAGTAGTGGCTGGGTCTTGTGTAGGTAGGATGTACCCTCCACGTATGTGCAGGGGAATGACATCCATAGGGGCATTCAGGAGAACATTGTTCTTTCTATCCGACTGTGCTATCTCACCGCCATCGTAATAACTGTACCATCTGGCATCTGGGAAGTAGGCATTCACAGTAACAGCGTCCTGGAAGTGTGGTCAAATGTCGTTAAATTACGTTAAATCATGGGCTTTCAACTACTTCAAAGCCCATGGTTAAATTAATAGAACAATTAAATTTAAAGTATAAGAGTTGTCAAATGTTCTTGTCTCACAGACATTTTAAATATGAATCCCACTGGAAAAATGTCGGTGATAGATGAGCTTTTAATAGAATATAAGTACTGCCAGACAGATGAGCATTCACTCTTATATACGATTTATGTTCAATGAGTTAAAACAAAAATAACGATAACGCGCATGTCGCATAACCACATAAAGAAGAGAAACAAAAAAGTGTTTACGAATGAAATATTTTCTCTTCTGTTGACATATCTTTGAGATAGAAAGTATTGTCCATATACTTCAAGAAACAATGCTTCAAACCAAAATTTGTTTATTCAATTATCACAATATACCCACATGTGTGTTTTATATACCTGGTCTAAGACCGGTGTAATGAGGAAAGCTGGTCCCCATAGGAATTGCCTGTCTATATTGTGAGTGTTGTTATCTTGGACGAATCTATATGCAACATCATGAAACAAAAGAATTCAATATTAACAAAGTTGTATTCAATTTAATTAGACTACACTTAATACTCTCATTATGATATTAAAAAAGTCATGCAAGATCATAAATATAAAAGCATTTTAATATCAGTACATGTACCTGTAATTATACCCAAAATTCCTTTATTGTGTTATAAGTAAGCCAAAATAATCAAATAAATCTTAAAGTATTATCAGACAGTCGATCAACTTTGACAAAAAAATTCTGGCAGCATCTATATCTTCAGTTTGTGCTTTTTATAACATTTTGCTTGTCAAATGATAGCCTGGAAGGCACTCTCGCGAAATAGTGGTGCAGTAATTTCACGGGAGCATATTTAAAGTGTTATACAGTATATATGTATGCTTACTCGTGCATGACTGGCCTAATAATGGTTCCACCCTGTGTATGAACTCTATAGAACAAGGTATACAGATAGGGAAGGATGGTGTATCGTATTGCAAGGGCCTCTCGACTCACTCTAGCGACTTCGTCACCCCAGGCTCCTGGATCCTGCTCCTGAATAATTAAATACAGGAGAGCATGGTGACACACAAGTAGTGACACACGGATATATTAAAGTTTAAATATTGCATGCCTCTCATTATCCATTGAGGTTATTTAAAAGCATCCGAAACACTTATCTCCTTAACCGTTGTTATTTAGCGCATTGGATGAATGCTACATCTGTAAACAATTTATGTCATGTATTATATATTGTTATACCTATACAATGAACCTAATTTGACACAAGTTCAATATATTGACACGTACTCTGTAACCTTTACCATTGTAATTCCTATAGAATGTATAGAAAAAAATTAGATATAGGGACTGTCATGAATAATCTTTTAATAAAAGAACGCTTTAAGTCCAGTATTGACACTTACCCTGTAACCTTTACCATTGTGATTCCTTGAGAATGTATAGAAGGCGCCAAGTTGCATCCAACGTTGACACTGACTTGCTGTACTATCACCATTGAACCCACATATATCAGCTCCGATCTGAAATTGTAACCTTCTTTTTAAAGTTAAATATTGCATTGAATTTTAGTCAGTTTTAGTTAATTAAGGATTTTAAATAAAGATGGCGGTACAATCAATTTGTTTTGTTAATCTTATGAAATATAATTCAGTGCTGCCATCTTTAATCAGTCTAAAACCTGTTTCAAATGTTAGTTTTAGTCATACTTACATAAGGAATGCCAAAGAGATTGAACTCCAACATGCCTAAAGACAAAAAGTGCTGATTTAATGGTATTTGATGGAGGGTGTTGTGACAGTAACAGTTGTTTGAGGGTTGGATTTAATTTTATTTTATAGTATTTCCAAATAGGTGTGAATTGCACTCCCATACATAAGTATGGCGAACAGAAGTCCTCTTTTGAATAATTTATTTATGTTTGTCAATTTAGAAAGATCATCAAACATGTCAAATTTGCATTTCCAAACCATTGTAATTTAGGAACAAAATTAAGATTCAAAAACTGATCGAGGCTTTGATAAACTATCCAAGAAAACGTATGGTTGCAAAACTTATGGAGGACAGTGTATATTTATAGTATTTAACTTGATGTAAACTTACCTATGATTGAGTAGTGTAAGTTGGTCCACTGACTGTAGTTATCTCCTAACCAATGAGCCGCCCATTTACCACTACCGGGGAAGGTAGACCTGGACACTACAAAACCTCTGTTGTTAGCACTGGTGCGAGCGGCCCTTCGGAAAAAGCATTTGATTTAAGGTGGATATGGACACTACAAATCCTCTATTGTTACCAATGTTACGAGCGGCATTTTGGAAAAAGCAATTGATTTAAAGTGAATATGGACACTACAAACCCTTTGTTGATAGCAATGGTACAAGCGGCCTTTTGGAAAAAGCATTTGATTTAAGGTGAATATGGACACTACAAACCCTCTGTTAGCAATGGTGCGAGTGGCATTTTGGAAAAAGCATTTGAATTAAAGTGGATATGGACACTACAAACCCTTTGTTGAGAGCAATGGTACAAGCGGCCTTTTGGAAAAAGTATTTGATTTAAGGTGAATATGGACACTACAAACCTTCTGTATTCGGACTCTTGCCCTCATTGAAAGTCTCATACAAGACTCTCATACTTTTCTAGTACTAGTATATGACGAAAACATCGGATGTTAATCATTTTTGTAGTGTTTGCATTGGGAGTAAATGTCCTACCTCATCGTAGGAGGGGACTGACTCCATCCATACAAACTGTGTACGTCATAATGGGAACCACCGTATTGACGGAAATCTGGACACAATGATTTGTCAGCTAGGACATTTCCCCAAATGGCTGAAATAAATTACCTTACAATATATAATCAATACCAGTTTTCGATCCTGTGACAAAGACGAAACAAACATTACAATACTATCAGCTAAGAGGGGTATAGTAATAATTTTAAATTGTGGTGCGGCCAGTGCATCCGGCTTTATCTCGTTCCAAGACTATCTCTACGTTCTAGAAACGAAGAGGATTGTGTTGGAACAAGATAACATCCGGCCAATCTGGTTTACATATCTGAAGAGATCGCGATCGTCTGTAAAAATCTATCACTGCTACCCTGATTCTATCGCCTTAAAACCTTAGATAATGCAATAATGAATTATGTCTTCAAAAAGTGGTAATTGGAGAAATTTTTAGGTTACAAATTACCAAAAACATGATTGTGGCATACAATGAATAGAAATACTACGTTATCATATTAGCTTACCGGGAAAGTAGGGAGGGTTATTCACTGTGCTTGTAACACATCCTTCAATCCCACCTGTCATGAAGTTTGCCGGTTCATTCATGTCCTGAAGATATTAAGATGACAGCGTGAAAATAAATGTATTATAGCCATACCAAGAACGCGAATAATGACAATGTCTTTGTAAAAAATCCAAAATTAAACCAGGGGGTTATTTTCTTTTAAAAGTGGTGCGAGTTACAGTATAAAATATGCTGTGGGAACATGTAAAAGTAATTTATATGTTAGGCTATATATAACATAGATATGATTAAATAATATGTTGACAGTTGATACATTGTGTTTCAACAGAATTACTTGAAAAGTTGTTGATAAGAAACAAAACAAAAATCAAAAATAAGAATGGTGAAATGCTCAGACAATGCATAAAAGAAATTGATTTTTAAATAAAATGTAGAACTTACAATCCATATACCGTCAAACTCAATTGTTTGATGAAAATCGACACATTCCTGGGTCCACCATGGCTCAGTCGCTGGGTTAGTGTAATCAGGGAAATATACGTTATCTGGGGGCCAGACCTACATGAGAAATGTTAACATTGTTGACTAACATGGGTCTAAATTAACATGGGGATTATATTTTATATGTAATACACAAGCGCATAAACAAGCGCATCTATTTTTTACTCATATTCATAGATGGAATGATTTAAATGCAAATAGTATAATACAATCAAAGAACATGGTAGTTATGCTTCAATGTCGACTTAATTGTGATTATCTATGCAGTTGTCATACCCTTCCTTCTGCCGGTGTCACACCATCCGAATTGTTCACCCATACACCTTGCACCTGCCCCCTATCAAATGGAGGATATGTCCCCGCAGGTTCGCCTATGCTTATACATGGGTCCTAGAATATAGGTGTAAAGAGTTGGATTCATCGCTTGTCAAGAGATATAAATAATTAGCACACCTAGAAACCCGGCGTGCAAAGACCAGTTTCTAGACGTGTCAAGAGTTGGAATCCCATATTTCACGCAGTGCAAAGATCTAAAATCCCAAATTCAAAATGGTAAAAGCGCGATGATGAACAAAAACGAATAGGGGTACTTATAAAAGGAATTGTCGCAATGCATTTTTTGTTTAAACTAAAATGATTCGTGGTTGCCCTAACGATTCTAATTTCTTGATTCTTTGTTGTCACCTTAAAGTGAAAACAGCAATTCAAAATATACAGGGTATCCATAAGTCATATAATTACAATACAAATGTGTATTGTAAGATATTTTATGGAAACTCTGTACTTTACTAACAAAACTACAAGGCAGATTTTTAGTTTAGTGTTGTTAGAGGAATATGTATTGATGTTATAGTTGATTCAAATTGAATCTCATCAGGAAATAACTGAAACATAAAGCACTAACTTAATATATAAGGTAAAGAAGGAGGTGCTTAATTTCTACTGACCAAAATAGTGACGAATTTAGTGCCCTCTGCCTTCAGTTGTCTGACATAGTCCGGCATCCCAGCGTAGTTCACTGTATCATAAGTGAAGTCAAGACGGCGGTCAAAGTAATCAATGTCACCATATTGGACATCCTAAAAATGAAAAAGAAGTATGGCGTTTCCTATGTCTCTGATCTACAGCATGATGGGCACTTGTCAATTTAACATAAATGGTCAAGAAGGCAGTGCTAATGCCATATTTGATAAGTTGATAGGGTCAAGGTCAAGGACTCATTTTCTAATATTTTACTTTTGACATTTCCGGTTTGAATGATAAAAACTGGTTTTAGAGCATTTAGTTCAGGACTTCTTGAACGACGCTAGTATAAGATTGAGGACAAATTTTCTTATTTTTGAATGTAAATTTTAGGACCTACTAGTGGTATATTGTAAGCCTTAATTCTATCCACAGTTGCTCTCATTGTAGTGATGCTGTCATAACCATAGCGTGATAATTGGAAACCAAGTGACCAATAGGGTGGCATGAATGGTAGCCCAATAGCCTGAAATATAGAACAGTTGCCACATTGTAAAAATAATGTCATAAAATGACAATTGGAAACCAAGTGACCAATAGGGTGGCATGAATGGTAGCCCAATAGCCTGAAATATAGAACAGTTGCCACATTGTAAAAATAATGTCATAAAATGACAATTGGAAACCAAGTGACCAATAGGGTGGCATGAATGGTAGCCCAATAGCCTGAAATATAGAACAGTAGCCACATTGTATCAATGATTTCATAAAATGACAATTGGAAGCAAAGTGACCAATAGGGTGGCATGAATGATAGCCCAATAGCCTGGAACATAGAACAGTAGCCACATTGTAGCAATGATTTCATAAAATGACAATTGGAAGCAAAGTGACCAATAGAGTGGCATGCAAGGTAGCTCAATAGCCTGAAATATAGAACAGTTGCCACATTGTAGCAATGATTTCATAAAATGACAATTGGAAGCAAAGTGACCAATAGGGTGACATGAATGGTAGCCCAATAGCCTGAAATATAGAATAGTAGCCACATTGTAGCCATGATTTCATAAAATGACAATTGGAAGCAAAGTGACCAATAGGGTGGCATGAATGGTAGCCCAATAGCCTGGAATATAGAACAGTAGCCACATTGTAGCAATGGTTTCATAAAATGACAATTGGAAGCAAAGTGACCAATTGGGTGACATGAATGGTAGGCCAATAGCCTGAAATATAGTAGCCGGGGAAAACAGAAGCTTCGTGAAGTTAAGAAATTCTAAAGTCAATCGCCATTACGATGACGCCATTATGAAACTAAGACCTGACCAGAAAAAAAGCAACAAAAACATTATGCATATACTTACAGTTGTGTACTGCTGGATAACGTTTTCAGGTGATGGCCCAAGGAAGATATACAAATCAAGAACTCCACCAATGGTCCGGAAAATGAGCGATTTTGGCGTGACAGTAACATCTGGGAATTAAAAAGAGAATGATTGTGTGTACCATACAGTAATTATAGTTTTGCTTGTTTTAAATGAATTTATTTTATTATGAAGAGAAAGTTGAATATCACGATTGAGCATTTTCGTGGAATCTCTTTTCATAATTGATTTGAATTGTCTTGGATCTCAACAATTCATCTTAATTACCTTGTGCGTTTGAGTTCAGTATCAAAACTCCGTGTGTCTGGAAGTCATTTTCAACTACCTCATAAAACGGATGGACTCCATACAAGTTGCCTTTGTACTAAAATTGAAAAACACAATCATAAACAATTAAGGCAAATAAACATGATATATAAACAAGGCATTAAAATACAAAATTCCACGACCTGCCATTTGTTACAGACGCCGAACACCAACCGTCGAACAACGTCCCCAAAAAAGTTTAAGACAATAACTATAACTTCTAGTGGCGACATAGAAATTAGAACTGAAAACCTAAGATGATGTAAATAAAAAAGTTATTCGTAATATCTTATTCCATATATTTCAGACAAGTTGTATGAGCCATTAACGGAAAATAAATCCTGAATGTACATTATGACAAGAACGCTATAATTCTGTTTTGAATGTAAAAAAACAATCACACCTGACCTACACTGCTCAACAAAGAACATACAATTTGTGCAACTTAATGATCTTCATGTTTATATATAAAATATGAGCTTGTCACTTACAGCAGGGGGTTGATCTCTTGAATAATATCCTTGGATGTTCCAATCATTTTCGTGCAAGAAACTATGATGTTCAGTCTCTCCGAAGCCATACAGAGTCTTGCTAGGGAGCCATGTGGCTATTTGTAAGAATTGGTCTTCAAATGTGAAACCTCCAACAGACGTATCGAATCTGTGTAAAATTGGAATAAATAAGGTTGGGGTTAATATCATTGGCCACAAAATGAAAAGGAATGATGACCCAATTCATGTTTAATCCATCTTATATTCTTTTAATAATCTTTTTCCATTGGTTCCTTGGGGTAGGATGAATATTCGGGAGTTTATAAAAAAGGTAATCAAACACTTCAGGGGTCTGTATTCAATACTTCTATACCATTTTCAGGATAACATTTGAATGTTTGAAGCGACAATTTTACACTGATATTTTTAGTTATTCAGAAATATGAACGTTTTTGGCCCACCCTGTAGAAAAACTAATTCTGTAATGTAACGGTCCTATGCATGATATTATAAATATTTGCCAAGAGTGTCATAGGTATAATTGTACAAAGCAAACACGTCGCTTTTTGTGGTTTTACAAGTTATGCTCCCTTAATAAAAAAAATGGAAACTAGAACGGATCCATATACAGAGTGACACAAAATTGCAACCTTCTGATTTTGGGAAAATACATAATACCTCATTACAACTGAGGTTATTCGAAATTTGAGGCCTGCAGTTTTGTGTCGGCCTGTATTTTAACTTACATCATTTCACCGGAGTTCTTTCTTATAACTTTAAATGAGAACACTGGGGTATCACTGAATTGGACATCGTACAATGTATTCGTTGCGGCAGTAGAGGGTGAATCGATGTCCAATGGCACCTCAAATCTGGCATTGTTAGCATCATAAAACTGGAAATATACATGAAAGTTTATGTGTGCTGCAACAGTGGAAACTTGGAACCAACACTTCCACATTGTTCAAATCTTGAATTCGTGAAAGATTTTCAGCTTTTCTGTTCGTTTTTGATTATTCGGAAGAGATTATTTGAATTACAAGAACAAAAACATCATATACATGTTAAACCTTACATTCGTGTTTTAAACTTTACAAAATAGTACTTATAATTATCCTCTTTAATTTAAACAAGTCTCTAACTTTTTCTTGGTCCCAATTTTGCCGTCATCCCATTGATTCACATGTGAAATGTGAACGCCATTTTATCTGAACTAATTGACCGATACAAGAGGCAAACTGATCATTCAGATTTTACTACATGAGAAAATGAACTGCCATCTTACATGTAGACCAATTGCTTACCTTAACTCTCAGTCTGGAGGTTGTATGAAATTCAACATCTACAATGACATTTGTAATAGTTTGTCCATACATTGTACCATTGTCACTCTTTTCCAAATTCACTCTACAAAATTCAATAATTTGTTCCTAATTAGCATCAGTATGTGATGAGCATATCAATTTATTAGGTGATGTCATTTCTAGTGTTTACTGTATATCGTGCTTGTTACAGCATAGTATTAAGGATATTTAGAACGCGATCAGGTCAAGTAATCAAGAACAAAGTTCCGTCTACATGTAGAATTAAATTGGGGAGGTGCATCATGATATGATTGAAAAGTGTTGAGTGTAAAAATGTGAAACATAAAACATGATAAAACCCAAACTATTTATTTATGGATTCCCATTTACGTGGTCAAAATGCCAAGAGCTGGGGTTTTACCAATCTGATATAAAGTTTTGTACCTATAACCTTTCGTTGTAGATTCAACTGCCCCGACAATTCTGTATCCCCATGTAGAGTCGTAGTAACACACTGGTGCGTTCGGATTCACACGCTGTCCCAAGAGACATCCTCTAAAAGGGGTGCACATAATGACATCAATAGTGTTGTTATTTTGGAAGAAAAGCTTCACGTGTTTAAGAGCTTGTACGTGAACGTGTTATAGTATGAACCCAGGAATTGATGTCCTTCTCAATTGTGTTTTTCAGGGACAATTCTAATTTCAGCTATTTCCTTATATCTGTTTCTTTTGTATTTAATCGGACAAGTAACTATTACAAATGGGGAAACTTATCACTCGAAGACCAAATTTTCGTTCACGCACAATTTACAAAAAGAATGGCTGACGGACCAGTTTCAACGATATCAGATTTTGTTGAAAAAATCAGTGAACTACTAGCACCATTTGTAACTCCGCGTTAAAGGGCCGTTGTAATTTGAATGAAACACCATAGCATACGATGACGTATTGTGTGACACATGACCAGGCCCGTAGCCAGGAGGGGTTCGTGGGGTTCGCCCCCCCCCCCCCCCCCGGCCAAAAATTCTTTCAAAATCATGCAGTTTTTCGCCATTTTGACCACTTTTCGTATGAATTTTGGAAAATTCTGGCTACGGGCCTGCATGACGATGACGTTTCAAATGTAGTATCGAGCTAGTATGATACAAGAAGATAATGTTCAGCTTTACCTTGCTATACATGCGTCAGTATCCAATACTCCAGGCGAACAGTCCACTCTGTCATCTTCATCAATAGCAGGCGGCCATGACGAGGAATCAAAATAGCACCAAGGGACATCTATATTTGGGTCACTGTACTCGCACCAATAGCAGCCCTGCAAGAATTTAGTTTATATGGAGGTTAAGCCACACGTTTTAAGACAGCCTGTACGTGAACGTGTAGAAGTACGATCCTCTGGGGATTATTAGTTCTCCCCTTACACGTTCTCGTAAAAGTGCTCCAATAACGCGTACCTCAAATTCCCATTTATCAAAATAAAGAATACATAATTATAGTTCAAATGGCTTGGACTGTTTAAAACTTTTTCAAATATGTTCCATTAGTTTTCATGTTATTCCATTGGTTAAAGATATTATGTTACTTTATCTATGCATCCTTGTTGGTCCGCTGGGGCAGGCATGCAGTCAATTCTCTGAGCTGGGTCTCCTACTACAGTGCAGTTCTGACCTGGTGGGGCAATGGTAGTAGTTGTAGGTGGTGGCGTGCCTGATGTATCATTGAAGTGACACCATGGAGTTGTACCTATATTGTATGGATATAAATGTAGCAAACTGCTCCAAATCATTTAAGCACAAAGGGTGTCGCATCTTGTCCAGATTCTTATCATCTATACGTGTCAGGACCCATGTTAGTACCTTAAACAAAGCCCCCTTCGTCTCACAAACTTAAAAAACGATATGACACTACTTTGTTCACAAGTACAAAATATTGCCTCCTTCGCAATTTTTAATACTGAGCTAAAACTACTTTTTCCCGCACTACTTACTTCCTTCTCCTGTTGGGCACCAAAGACAACCCCTCGAATAACAGCCAGATTCGGACGCTCCAGCTTCTGGGTAACAATCTTGTCTGTTTGCCTCTGGGATGAAACATTGGTCCCCGGGGGCAGGGGTGGTACTGGCCGCGGTGGTGGTTGTTCCTGAGCCAGCAGTTGTAGTGGTAGCGACTGTAGTGGTTGTGTTTGCCGTGTCATAGAAACAATATGGTACACCTTGAAAACATATGAGAATAAATAAATATATAAGTCAGCATATGCAATACACACGGAAATGCACTCCCAATAAAAATAAAGGAAACGCGTGCATGTACGCCGCGTACAGTTTCTGGAGAATAATAAAATCTTGGAGCTGTATACAGGCGTACATGGATAATATGACCTAGATACACCATTTATGGAGATGTCAATTATGTAGAAGTACGTATACTCTCAAGTTTAACGTTTTTAAGTATTCGTTCAGTACCATTTATTTGAGATGCACACCAGAGACATCCTCTCCCCAAGCATAACCCCTCAGACGACCCTGGCTCAGGGTAGCAATCAACTCTGTCTAGCTCGTTGATGGGAGAGTTACACCCCGCCCTGGGGTCAATGTCGGGGTCGAAGAAACACCATGGAGGACCCTTAGAATTACAAAAATTACTATGTTTGTAGTTGTACTTTATTTCATTTATATTCGGTAAACACATGGACTAAAATAAATGAATTTGAACTACTCATCGTAAGATTTGGCGTTAATACATGTACCTGTATCAGTTGAATTTGTGAATGCTACCTTAGTTGATAAGAATGGGCTACTTAGGGATAGGAAACGTGCATGTCTTTATTTCCTAATTTCTATCCATAATTCCATTATACCTGGTAGGTGGTTTCGCACCACAGACAGCCGCGAGAGTTGCACGTTTCCTTGGAAGCCCCACCTTCAGGATAGCAGTCTTCTCTGCTGGCTTCTGGGATGGTCGATGGGCACTCCTCGGCAGGTATAGCAACTGTAATTACAACGTTGGTAACATGCATGAAATGTTTGAACAGCTTATATTAGCAGATGATTGGGAGGTTAAGCTACACGTTTTCAATAGAACTTTGATGTGAACGTATTAGAATAGTAGTGCTCTGTTTTCCCTTCCCATATTTGCCCGACTGAGCAAACCGGAATTATAAAAACAGTTGTAAGAAGGTTTTTGAAAAACCGTAAGGGGAACAATCATCAATCAATTAAGTTCTTTTAAAAACGTGAAGCTCAACTTCGTGGAATGGGTGGCTATATTTTATTCGATATCCCATGATTTTGCCCCATTTCGGCATTTAGGCCATAATATTTCTTTATTTTAACGACCACCTATTCTGTAGCCCTAATTTCTTATTTTCATAAATGGCTCTCATATCACTCACTAACCACCCCCTCCACGTCACCCTCTCCACCCCCCCCCCCCCCCCCCCACACCCATTAATTCATCTCTTTTATATCTTAATGTATCCGAGGAAAGAATTCATGATTAATTACACATGATATCCTCAATGATCACCGATCACTATATTGTATTATTCAACGTTCTATTTGCGTCTTTTTCAAGACTATTAAGACGGTTTTCATTTGATCAGGTCGTTCCCCAGGGTCGATCCAAAGTGATCACTCCCTCAATCTAGATAAGGTACCACTTGTTGGATATTTCGGCAGAATAAAAATCGTTTTGTTTTAGTTCTTGAAATATGACAGAAAATGTTCTAAAGTTTGCAAATACTGTACCTGCTACGCCCACTGTCATGTAAAAAAGTATAAATCTAATGGTGCCCATTGTGGATTCTTGTATAGTTATCAAAATATTGAAATAGTTTATGTTTATATAAAGGGTTGTTTTCGTGGGGTAATATATCTCATTTGACAGTGCCTCTAGATACAGATGCTATTTCTCATGGTTGTGGGGCAAGTTCGTGTTAATTGTAGCCAATCAGGCAGCCAATCAACGTACTTTGATCTGGTTGTCCCACAATCTCCCCTTGTGAAGATCTAGGTATAAAGTTTACGCTAGGGGGCGAGTTCACTTCAATAAAGCAAGCCACATTTGGTTCAAGTTAATAAAGCAATCCTCAAAATGGTAACGTCAGTAGAGCAAGCCACCCATTAAGTCAGTAGAACAAACCACACATAATTTTACCTCAGTTATTCATTAGAGCAAACCACATTGAGTTCAAGTTAATAAAAAAAAGAAAAAAAGTTAATAAAGCAATTCCCGTAATGGTAACGTCAGTAGAGCAAGCCACTCAGTAGTCAGTAAAACAAACCACACATTATTCACCTTATTCAATAGAGCAAGCCACACTGAGTTCAAGTAATACAGCAATCCCCGTAATGGTAACGTCAGTAGAGCAAGCCACTCAGTAGTCAGTAAAACAAACCACACATAGTTCACCTTATTCAATAGAGCAAGCCACACTGAGTTCAAGTTAATAAAACAATCCCCATAATGGTAATGTCAGTAGAGCAAGCCACCCATTAAGTCAGTAGAACAAACCACACATTATTCACCTTATTCAATAGAGCAAGCCACACTGAGTTCAAGTAATACAGCAATCCCCGTAATGGTAACGTCAGTAGAGCAAGCCACCCATTAAGTCAGTAAAACAAACCACACATAGTTCACCTTATTCAATAGAGCAAGCCACACTGAGTTCAAGTTAATAAAACAATCCCCATAATGGTAACGTCAGTAGAGCAAGCCACCCATTAAGTCAGTAGAACAAACCACACATAATTCACCTTATTCCATAAAGCAAGCCACACTAAGTTCAAGTAAATAAAGCAATCCCCGTAATGGTAACGTCAGTAGAGCAAGCCACCCATTAAGTCAGTAGAACAAACCACACATAATTCACCTTATTCAATAGAGCAAGCCACATTGAGTTCAAGTTAATAAAACAATCCCCATAATGGTAACGTCAGCAGAGAAAGCCACCCATTAAGTCAGTAGAACAAACCACACATAATTCACCTTATTCAATAGAGCAAGCCACACAGAGTTCAAGTTAATAAAGCAATCCCCATAATGGTAACGTCAGTAGAGCAAGCCACCCATTAAGTCAGTAGAACAAACCACACATAATTCACCGTATCAACAGAGCAAGCCACACTGAGTTCAAGTTAATAAAGCAATCCCCATAATGGTAACGTCAGTAGCGCAAGCCACCCATTAAAAGTCAGTAGAACAAACCACACATAGTTTACCTTATTCATTAGAGCAAGCCTCACAGAGTTCAAGTTAATAAAACAATCCCCATAATGGTAACGTCAGTAGAGCAAGCCACCCATTAAGTCAGTAGAATAAACCACACATAATTCACCTCAGTTATTCATTAGAGCAAGCCACACATAGTTCACCTCACAAAGAGTTTTGAAAGCACATAAATAGGCCACACAAGGCACACATCATATATAGTAATTCAAGTCAATGTATTAAGGTTCTATAAGGTGTGGTGTAGCACCAATCAGAATAGAAACTGGTCGTTATGAAAGGCTGCCAGTTGATGAAAGGGTGTGTCCTTTATGTTATAATGCAATTGAAAATGAAAGACATGTAATTTTGAACTGTTCTCGTTATGAAGACATCCGTTTAGACGTTGTATGCAAACGTAACTGGTTTCATGAATTTAGATGAAGATTGGGCCCAAAAAAATGTTTGGGCCAAACAAGGCCTTCAGGCCCCAAAAAGTGGGACTTTTTTATTATTACTGGGCCTTTTAAGGCCTTATTTTTTAATTTCAGGCCAAATTTTGAAGAAAATTGGCCTCAAAATTTCAAAATTTGGACGGACATTTTTTCCTCTGACCTGAAATAAATATAATAAATAAATAAATAAAATAAATATTTTACAAAGAGATAGAAATCGATAGGAGATCTATGAAGACTCGTGTTAATAAATAAAAAAGTTCTCGATTATTTCATTTTCTTTGTTTTGAATCAGTTAGCTACTGATAATTAGAGAATTTTATATCGTTTCAGTTGTGTTGACATTTCTTCCTTGGCCATGACACATATCCATAGGGAACAGGATATAAACATTGATACTGTTATTGACATGTTCGCAAATGCAAAAAACAGAAAGATAGAATTTATTCTATAGAATCACGTACATGTACAGATTGTTAAGATCCGAAATGGAGTTGAGACGGTCGTGTAACTGTTCTTTTATTGTTAATCATCTTGTGAGCTAGATAAAAACAAACACAGAAAAAATAATAATATTTCATGGAGAATGACCACAAAAGCTTAAAACAATGAGCCTCATACATACAGTTTTAGGTAGCCTAAAAAATAAAATCGCCTTGATCACTCTACTATACCTTGCATTTGGCTTTCATGAGCAACCCATTTGGCTTATTACCCTTTGCATTCGTTTGACTTCACTTCTTAAAAGAGAGCTTCGTCTTCACTCTTTCAAACTAAAATAAACCTGTGAACTCACCGCGCCAATCAGTGTTTGTCGGCAAAATTTGACCGACGTTCTATATATGGTAATTCCTTCTGACATCATCGTTGAGCCCAATGACATGCGCCTATTTAATTAGAACGCTTTTGGCGTATGTTTCTTCAAGCTCGCTGATTGGTGGAAGAAAGGTCAGCGCGTAGGTCAAAAGTGATTTATTACCCAAACTGTCACCGGTACCCGTCGTGGGGGCGGTGCTACTAAACTGTAATATGGTCTCTACTAGGCAGAGTGTAGTTTAACTAGACTCTGCACGCAGGGTATTGGCTTATTAGTAATGATAATATATTTGTTTTTATTTGTCTGTTCCTTATTAATGGTTTATCGGTTGAAAGTTAGATGTTGATAATGCATATTTCCTTCATTGAATTAAGAGTGTTTAGTGTGTCCCCTACACTGGCGGATTAGGGGGGGGGCCTGGGGGCCCGGGCCTTTTTGGTCATTACTGGGCCTTTTAAGGCCGTATTTTTAAATTTCAGTCCAAATTTTGAAGAAAATGGGCCTCAAAATTTGGGCCCACTTTTGGGTTTTAGGGGCCCAAAATTTTTTTTTGCTTTTTTTCTCGGACTTGAAATTTGGGCCCCCCCCCCCCCTTGTTGATTCCCAGATCCGCCCCTGCCCTATCTTCTGAACACCCGGGATCTTCCTATTTTATGGAACCGTCGTTTTGTTAATTTTGATAAAACCGGGAAATCATACGGGCGTACACTCGCAAAATGGGCTAGCTACGCCTCTGTGTGGGCGGTATATATGGCTCCTGTGGATCAATGGAGCAAGCCATATAGAGCTCAAGTCAAGAATAACCATATCACCATATACTACTCTAGTCAGACTATTTCTTCATCTAAATAATTAATCTGCACATAACCCTTTCACTGTAAGTTTTGTCTTATCCAACACTTTAAAACGATTTAATATATACTCGCGTTCGGGTTTATAATGCAAACATTTTAATTTGGAATGTGTCTTTGATAAATTGGACTGTGTTAGTGTTTAAATATGGCGGCTGTTTTCGCAAGAACTGCGAGTAAAATTTGCAGACTATCTGCCAAAATACAAGGTATTTATGTATATCTAGTGAACAAACTTGTCGTTACATATTCAACGTAACACATTTATTTGTTTCCTAAACGATTTGACCTTCCGAATAGCAAAGTTTCATTCAAATTTGCATTTCAACTCGGGGTCTAAGGTCAAGTTTAGTTTGCAGTGAAAACAACATTTGAAAAATAAAATTATGAAACCACGAATTTTGACTGATTTTCTGGTGAACAACTTTGGTATAATAAGTGCATATAACGAAGTATTTATTAGTTTTGCTTTTTGCGGTGAAGGGATACTTTTCATTTCATTGTCAGTTGATATAATGTATAGTTATTAGACATGATAATTTCAAATAACCTTCCACTCTGTATGTGTGTGAGCTTGTAATGCTCCTTTAATTGTATTATAGGCATAATGTGAGGTATTGGTATTCAGAAGCCTGTCTACTTTTCAAGTGCCCTTCAATCTGAAGATTAATCAAATGATTGGACCCAAAATGTCCTTTGATTTGCATAACATAGAATAAACAACTGTTTATTATCATATGCCACGCCCACTTTTTACATGTAGGTCAACTTCAGAAGTAAATAGCCTCTAATTTATTTTGTGGATGGTGTTCAGTGGTTATCAGTTCATGTTCGGCAATTTGTGTTAGGTGGTCGGTGTCTGTAACAAATGACAGGTGGTGACATTTTGAATGTTAATGCCTTGATCTGGATAGTTGTGGAACTTGATTACATTATTGGATATTGATACATTGGATACTGTGTTTTCCAACTGAAACAATCCACAATAGTTTATTCGGGTATTCTCTGGAATTAACATATTACATAACATAGTGAAAACATTTCATTTTCTTACACAAATTGGATTTAGAGCTACTTTTATATTGATACATAGCACTTCAATATTCTTACATAGCTTGTTACATATAGTACCTATACTGTATAATAAAACAAATATTTCATTCTTTTGTACTCTCTATGGTTTTTGCTAGGATGTATTGTCCTTCCCCTCTGGCTTTGACCAATCCACTACAAAATTACAAAAACCAATTGTAAGATTTTTTTAAGAAAATAGAACAGTAAATGAAAAATAGAATTATAAAAAAATTATTCTGAACTTTTCCCTTTACTGCTCCTTTGACTAAAACACACCTTTGCATAAATTATAAAACAGCAAACTTAGTTTTGTGTCATGTTTCATTTCATTGATTTACATGTACCATCAATGTTTTGAGCCATTTTTACATTTCAGATTTCTTCTGACCGATAATCTTTTCAGTCCATCCCAGCAAGTAACCTGTATTATCTCAGTGTCCTCCACAGATTTTTTTCTCAAACGGGTGCAAAATTCTCATTTTCACAATTCAGACCAAAATTGGTCAAAACATGCCAATTTTTCTGATTTTTTTCATTTTCAAATGGATGTAAATGAATTTTCAGATGGGTGCAAGCCTGTTTTCAATATCTCAGGTCGGCGCTGCACCAACTTGCTTTAATGCTGGGAAATTATGCACCAATCATATATTTCATTTACAACAATATTCACAAGACAGTACATAGTATGTTATACTCAATATTTCATTTACTGATAAGATATCCCCTGTTTCAACAAGTCCAGAGTCCTGATATTTGAATAATGTATAATATCCTTAGATATAGTCTTGAATTGTGTAATTGTTGTCTTACTAAATCCATGATCTTTCTTATACATACTTTAAAATACAATTTTGGAATTTCCTTATTTTTACATCATGATGATTTCGTGATTTCAAAATTTCAGATTTTTGGGGAAGGAATAATTTGCAATATCTGATATTAAATCATTCCATCAAAGATCATTTTAAGCATTTAGCAAATTTATATGCTTTACAACTTATGAATTTGCATTTTAAAATACTTTTTCATTAATGTTTTTATAAATATATGCCTTGTATTGATAAGACAATAATGTTTATAGTAATATAGGATTTATATACAGGGTGTTCCAAAAGTAACAGGACTGGTGCTGGCATTTTGTCAATTTTGCCCCGAGTGTCTTCAAATTTTCACAAATTGTACTTTGAAGTATGACAACTAAAATTTTAAAGTTTCAGAAAAAATGATTAAATGTGGGTAGAGTTATGGTTACTATTTTTTTTTTTTTAATATTCCAGTTTATTTCGATCAATCATCAAATGTGTACATAAGAAAAATTGCCAAGGTTATTAGATAACATTAGCGGCAATTGTAACTATTTTTGTAACTATTTTATGGTTACTATAGTAACATGACATCACAATACCCGGGGCAACTCTTTGCTGAAGATGTGATATATAACACTTTTGTATTACTGAAGAAAGTATCTAATTCACCTATTATAATACAACATTTCTTGGTTTATTTTATTAGTTGCTTTGTTTTAAAACTGTTGCTATACAACTCAGATTCAAGTATAATTTCATAATAATAATAATATTTATTCAATTTCCTTGAATATCCATATGTATAACAGTCTGAACAATTCACGGTTGAGTTTTTGAAAAGACCCAATTTGAAGCCAGTCATCCACTTTGATGACGCGCCTGCCCGCAGATCAGCCTTAAAGACCATGCAGCTATAGAGGAGCTAGGGCTTGAGGTCTAAAAACCATGCACCATACTCTTCTGATCATGCAATATCTAATTTTTACTTACATGAAGAATGGAATGCTAATCAGCGCTATAAGACCTTTATAAGGAGAATGACCTTCTCCAAGTTGTTCAATCTACCCTGCGTGACATGTCCTCAAATGGGTTCACTCATGTGTTTGAGTCATGGATACAGAGTGCTTCTCTTCTACTGACCAAAGAGGAGGATACATAGGAATATCAAATGATGTAAAGGAAATGTAATTCCCACCAGTTGTTGCATTTCAACTTTGATATGGGATGTACAAAATGCTTAATGTCTCTGTAACTTTCAGCATAAATTGTTGCCCCGGGTATTGTGATGTCATGTTACCATAGCAACCATAACTCTTCCAGAGTTTCATATTTTTTGTCGAAACCTTGCTGTTTTAGAAACGATACATGGAAGTACATTCTGTAAAATTTTGAAGACGATTGGTGAATATTTAACAAAATGCCAGCACCAGTCCTGTTACTTTTGGAGCACCCTGTATATAGGTTGTACATGTATATGTGTTTTATTATTTTCTCTGTGCTGAGTATATTGACAAAATATCATCACGGTCTAATGCTTCAAGCTTAATATTTTCACTAATTGTTAATATCTTCGGAATGATTTTTTCAAGTCTCTTGTCATCCCTTTGACATTTTTGTTTCAGCATGTCGGGGTTATGCAAATATAGTAGACCTTCCAGAAACACATCAACTTTTACAGAAAACTTTACGAGATTTTGCCAACAGTGAACTTGCACCCATTGCTGGCCAACTTGACAAAGACAAACAATTCCCAAAGGAACAGGTGGGCACATTTTACATAGGAATTTCTTTGAGAATTCAATAAAAAAAATTCCAAATCTTCTTTAGTAATGGATACAGTAAAACTAGTTTGAATTGAATGATGTTTGTATGAAATCGTTACTATCATTTTCTGACAGCATGGGAGTCCACGGGATGTCCAAAAAGGAAATAAAAAGATTTCACATTTTGAACAAAAAGATTTCACATTTTGAACAAAAAGATTTCACATTTTGAACATTTTGTTGAACAGATATGTGTTCAAATTGACAGGTCTTTGTACATTTGTTTTGATTGATTTTATTTGTTTCAGATTAAAAAACTTGGTGAACTTGGAGCAATGAGTGTAAATATCTCAGAAGAAGATGGGGGTACGGGTTTAGATTACTTAGCATATGCTATTGCAATTGAAGAGATAAGTCGGGGGTGTGGTGGCACAGGGTGCATAGTCAGTGTAAATAATGTAAGTGAAATAGTCAGTGATGTGGGGTTGCATAGTCAGAGTTGATAATGTAAGTTAAATAGTCAATAATGCAATTATACAATAATAATAACATGTAGGTCAGTGCTACTCCTTTGATAATTTACTTGACATTATCAAGTCAGAAAATAATACATCATTTATTTAACTTTTCTCATGATTAGCCTCCCAGAGAGCTAGTTTAATATAAAGCGCTACAATGTTACTGGTCTCGATTGAGAAAATGTATCTAAAAATTATGATGAATTTAGTCAGATTCTTAAATAAGATTTCATGTTTCAGTCTCTATATTTGGGGCCTGTTAATGGTTGGGCCAGAGAGGATCAGAAAGCACAGTTTATGACGCCATTCCTGCATGGAGACTCAGTGGGGTGTTTCGCATTAAGTGAACCAGGTTTGTTATGTTCGGAAATGTATACAACATCATGTAATTGTAGCATTAAAACGAAAAATAGCCATTGTAAATACACATTTCTGTAATAATGTAATAAATATATGTATAGCCCTGTCTAGTCCAAGTACCACTGTCCAAGTACCACTGGAGCTGGCCAAAGTGTTTGGATTTAAAGGTGTTCACATTTCAACACTTTAACTTTCTAATCTATGGTAATATGGAAAAATGGGACTATAAGATGGAAAAATAGGACCATAAAGGTTTTCAGATTGAGAAGTGTTGAGATATAATAGGTGTTCAGGTAAACAAGTTTTACCCTACTAATATTCAGAAGTGTGGTAAAGGGGTTCTTATATGTGTTTCTATGGTTTATAGGGAATGGAAGTGACGCAGGGGCAGCTTCTACCACTGCTGTTGATATGGGTGACCACTACCTTCTCAATGGAACTAAAGCCTGGTGTACTAATGGATTTCAAGCAGATGCAGCAGTTGTAAGTTTGAAGAGAACTTGTAGTTGAACTATTTTGACTCCCAGGGATTACGGACCTCCTCTCAATTAGTTTTCACAGGGACCTAACTACAACAATTTACCTTGTATCTTTATACTTAATCCCCTAACTACAACAATTTACCTTGTACCTTTACACTTAATCACCTAACTAAAACAATTTACCTTGTACCTTTATACTTAATCACCTAACTACAACAATTTACCTTGTACCTTGATACTTCATCCCCTAACTACAACAATTTACCTTGAACCTTTATACTTAATCCCCTAACTACAACAATTTACCTTGTACCTTTATACTTAATCCCCTAACTACAACAATTTACCTTGTACCTTTATACTTAATCACCTAACTACAACACTTTACCTTGTACCTTTATACTTAATCAGTCAACCAAATACTAATGAAGTAGCAGTGATCTCCCCAGCATTAAGGCAAGTTGATCCAGCATCCAACTTAAAAACAGGCTTGCACCCACCTGAAAATCCATTTGCACCCACTAGAAAATGAAAAAATCATGGAAAGGGATATTTTGACCAATTTTGGTGTGTATTGTGAAAATGAGAATTTTGCATGAGAAAAATCCTTTTGAGAACACTGCATTAGTTGAGATGACAGTGATGTTTGAGTTTTGAAATAACCTAGAAATTATTTTCATGTTTACCTTTATGGAAATGTTCACTCAGGTGTAATATCAAGTGGATACATTGGCCTGTCATTATGTGTGTCAATTATACAGACACATATTTTGAGGTGTTAATCATTCATGTTTTATAGGTGTTTGCAACAACAGACAAAAGCAAAAAGCATAAAGGTATCAGCGCCCTACTTGTCCCTAAACCCACTGAAGGATTAACCCTCGGCAAGAAAGAAGACAAACTAGGAATCCGATGTACCTCGACTGTTAACCTTATATTTGAAGACTGTAAAATACCAAAAGAGAACCTCCTCGGGAAAGAAGGAGAAGGATTTAAAATTGCCATGGTGAGTGATTAAATAGAAAACCTCCTTTGGATAAAAATCAGCATCATCAAGTAGAAAAAACACAAGGGGCAACACTAGTAAAGCTAACATAAACTAATCCAGCCATATAAGGGAATAGATCTACATAACAACTAGGAATTTTTTTATTATTTTTAGATGACTTTAGATGCTGGTAGGATTGGTATAGCAGCCCAGGCTCTTGGAATAGCACAGGTATGATGGAGTATTTAAAATAATTAACTTACACAGGAAAGAAGCCTTATCTTTTTAATTTGCTCTAATTAGCCAAGTATATGCATGTATATGAAATTACTGGCAAGCGTAAAAGTAATTTCAGACTGCAAAAACAAGGGATTCAACAACACGAAGATGTGCGAGAATAAAATTTAACAATACATCCCTCAAGTCTTATTAATGAAACAAAATTATGCTAAACTTATTATGACTCCAACCTGATTAGGTATATTTATATTCCAGGCTGCCCTTGAATGTGCAGTTGACTATGCAGGGAAACGTGAAGCATTTGGCAGACCTATTGCAAAGTTCCAAGCCATACAGGTAAGAAAATATGCACCAAGAAAATAAGGAATAAGTAATTACTTCAGGGGTATAAATACATGTATATCCATTATGGGTGACCAAAATTAGCTGAAAGCAATGGATTGCAGGAGTTTTCCCTTTGGGAAAATAACATGGGAAATAATGTTTTCCACTTTATCGAAGAGGAATTACTCATTCCTTTAAAAGGGATAGATTTTCAGTTGTCATTTGGATTCATTACAAAACATTAACAAATTATATTTTGAAATGCTTAGAATGCTTGAATGCACCATATACAATGGTTAAGTTTAAAAACATGTTGGGGGTGAACCCCCTTACCCCCCTTTTGGGTTTCCTTTGCTCGCAGTGATGCACCCCTTTGACATTTGCTGACTATGCCCCCGTTCATGTATGCTTACCTTTGGCCTTATGCAATGTAAAATTAAAAATATAATGTATCAGGAATAAGACGACCTGCAGAAGTAATGATAAGTCATTAGGAGAAACCCAAAATGTTTTATAATAAGTCTTGTCTTTTAAATAACACAGTTGTTTGAGGCCGTGTAAGCAAAACAAGATCTGGAAATTTCTTTTTTGCCTGGAAATGTCAGGGAATTTCATTTTGAAAAAGGTGTACAAACCCTGTATAACCATAAGGTAGAGACAGCTAGATTGCTTGTCTATCTTCAATATTGAATGAATATCCTATTTTTAGTTCAAGCTTGCCGATATGACAATGAGGTTAGAAGCAGCTAGGTTATTAGTCTGGAAGTCTGCTTTACTCAAAGATGCTGGCAAAGAATATTCAAAGGTAAGTTCTCTTTAAAACTCCTGAGGAGACTAATAATTGTTCAATTTAGAGTTCTTCCTCTGGGTGACTTAAAACCAACTATAGTCACGTCACAATTTAGGACAATATTTGTACGAATATGTTTTTGAAAACTAAGTCTGTTAATGATCTACACTCCCCTCCATAAGCTTAGCAACTGGAAGCCTCATTTTGCTAGCTTGATACTGCCTGTTAATTATCTTTGTTTTGTTCCTTTATTACAATACTACAAAAAATGTATGACTTTGATGATTTTTATGTCACCTCCAGAAGTGGTAAAATACTTGACAACTTTTTTGTGAACGTTGTTTGCAGTTGGCATTCGGCATCTGTAACATGTGGCAGGTACATAATGTCAATAAATTTGGAAATATAAAAGATATGTGCCTGAAATTCATGTCAGTTATTTCTCAAAGTGTGTTTAATAAGTGTACCAAATCTGAAGAAAAATCACCCATGCCTTATATCTCCCTCAAAAAATTCTCATTAGTTCTGGGACACCCTGTAGTGACATTTTCATGTTAAAGCATTGTTATTAGATACCAAACAGTCCTTAACACGCAATTCAGAATGGGACTCCTGATTGCTCAACTTATGGAGGGGGTGTACAATATACATAAATCTACATGATTTCATCTTGACTTTCCAGGAAGCTGCCATGGGCAAATTAGCAGCCTCTGAAGCAGCCACCTATGTTGCCCATCAGTCTATGCAAGTCCTTGGAGGAATGGGATACGTCACAGATATGCCTGCAGAACGACATTATCGAGACGCAAGGATCACTGAAATATATGAGGGCACCAGTGAAGTGCATAGACTGGTTATTGCTCAAGGGATTTTAAAAGAATATGGCATAACTGCGAGATGAAAATAGATTTTATAATTAAGATTTATGCCTATTTAAATTAAAGACATGTGATTCGGATGAAGTAAATGAGATATAGAGGATGGACACAATAATACAATTCCAAACTTTTTGATTGTGCCTTAAATTCATGCTTCCTATTCTGATCAAATAAAGCAAAAGTACTTGAAATTTGGTGGTGTCCAACTGCCAAATTGTGTAAGTAAACATAGTTAATTTCAGTGGGTTTTTTGGGTATATTACAATTTTATCAGTGTACAAATTAAGTTATATGGGGGAGGGTAAAACCATAATAAAAGTAATGTCATTTTACCAATATCTGGTCATGATCCCTTACTGTGACTATTGACCCTACAATTAATTCAGGGAATCTTGTAGAATACTAGTAGTCTTGATAATATGCAATTTAAAAATATAAGAGGGAAAATTATTATAAAATTAAAATTATTTTAAAATATTCAAAATTATTTTAAAATTATTCACTAATAAGAAGTGCATGATTATAGAATGAACAGTATTATGCAATACCATAGAAAGCTACTATTATTTGTGTTAATATGAAGATATGTATAAGAAGTGCATGATTATAGAATGAACAATATTATGCAATACCATAGAAAGCTACTATTATTTGTGTTAATATGAAGATATGTTTAAGAAGTGCATGATTATAGAATGAACAGTATTATGCAATACCATAGAAAGCTACTATTATTTGTGTTAATATGAAGATATGTATAAGAAGTGCATGATTATAGAATGAACAGTATTATGCAATACCATAGAAAGCTACTATTATTTGTGTTAATATGAAGATATGTATAAGAAGTGCATGATTATAGAATGAACAGTATTATGCAATACGATAGAAAGCTACTATTATTTGTGTTAATATGAAGATATGTAAAGGGGTTGTAGTAAAATTAATTGATTTATATAAATGTATGTACATTGTATATATTATACATATCCACCAATTCACATTGTGTAAAGTTGAATAAAAGTTAATTATGTAATTAAATGTTTTGACTCATGTAATATTGGTACACGGTGTGTCAAATAGAGTTGAGCCCCCCCCCCATCCACAGCATAAGTACACACGCATATTATATACCATTGGAATATGCATTTAATTGTTGTTAAAGTGTGAAAAAATGAAGATGCATTATAGGAAATAAGACATATTTTATAAAAACTTAGAGGTGAGATGACCACCTTGGGCAGCCTTAACGGTTGCCAGTTTAGCAGGTTATGAAGTTAATAGGGCATGGTAAAAGCGCAGTGTCTTTCTCAAGAGATCTCAATACTTTTTTACAAAAAATATTTTTTTCTTTTCACAACCTTTATTTTACTAAACAGGACGTTTCGGATCCTGTCTGGATCCTTTTTCAACTGTATAAAAACTGAACTGAAGCGCTACCATAAATGTTCTTATACAGTTGAAAAGGATCCAGACAGGATCCGAAACGTCCTGTTTGGTAAAATAATGGTTGTAAAAAGAAAAAAATATTTTTGTGATTTTATAATCCAACCTTAAAAACATGTTTACTTTTTTATTTGAGCAACGTCTCCTGTTTGGTTCATTATTTGACCGATAAAGCCAGTTTGAGATAAGAAAAAAGTCACATTTTTCTTTCAACTGTTTCATGTTTTAGGCTTGCCAGGAGAATCATGTAAACAAAACTAGTCAAAAATAATTTTTTAATTTACCCTATTTTTCTTTTTTCAAACTTCTCTCCGCACTTATAGCGTAGCCTGTAGATAACATAAGGGGATGGGCTTCTGTTCACTAATTGGTTTTACCCCATGTGCTCAAGTCAGGGCAGTGCTCGGGTATTTATCATCAAAAGTCTATGAAGGTGGTAATACAACCCTACATGTATATGTTGCAATCAATTTCAATATCAATCTGTAGTAATTTGCTATGACATACATATTAAGGATCCACACACGTTTGCGTAATAAAATAACAAATCGTAATATTTTTTTAATTTAAAATATTTATTATGAATAAATAGAAACAGTACAAAATGAGAAGTACTTCACCTCTATACATACATGTAATACAGCTATACAGTTTTCCCTTGTATACTACAATACTACACTTTGATTCAATTCATCAAAAAATTAGCAGTAAATCTGTTTACATTTTAATATTATTTTCATCACATGATTTCTATTGCAGTATTGAGGGTGCTCGTATTGGGGGTTCCATTCAGTTTTCTACTCAACTTGAGTAAAGTTAAGTTTAAATTAAATAAATCTTTGAAGAGATTAAAAGATTTAATGTAGATAATATCAAAGTATCCATAATTTCCAAACCTTAATACATTGTTTATTCATTTATTGATTCTTTATGTCATGGTAAGCTAATCTTTCCTAATTGTTGAGGTATTTCTGATGTCCATAACATAACATAGTAGTCCGGACAGGATTGACAATTCCCTACAGAAAATATGAACTCACTCAATGAAATCCAGCGCTTTCTATTAATTCCAAAACTTTGGACATTTAGTCATTACCATATGTATTAAACTAAAATAAATAAATATAATACAGCAAAACCTGTGTAAGTGGAACACCTTTGGTACCACTAAAAAGTGTTCCACTTGTGAGGTGTTCCACTTACAGAGGTGTTCCACTTTACAGGTTTCACTGTACATGTAACTGTAAAAAATGAACAAAACAACCATTTTTGCTGTAAGTCTGTGATTACTGGATTTTCTCATTATGAGGCCCTGGGCATTTAAATGAAATGACTTATTTCTAGTGAGTACTATATATCTAGTATTTCCTCATGATTCATAAAATGGCCAACTGGGCATTTCTTTGAGAATTAACTACAATACTGTACATATCTCTTAATATATCATTAGCTTTGAGGACATTAGACTAATATTACTCAATAATGAACATTTATATGCTGACTTGATATAAATATATGAAAAAAAAAACATCATCTACTCGCATGTATATAACTATTGATTCTAAAGTGTACTTTCTAAATTCCATTCTCTAAAGATAATATATACGTAACAATGTATTTGAAAAAACACAAGATTTCATTGTCAAATTGTTGAATCTTCAATATGCAAAACATAAGGCTAGACATTAGACAAACTATCAACAAGACTTCAACTTCATAAACATTCATTTAATGAAAAATTAATGACACATTATCTACTTGGATATATGATGTAATAATATCTAAATTCCACTGTCTAAAGATTCACTTCTATGTCTTAGTTTCTACATATTTTGAGGAAACTGATACTAGTATTATGCTATTACATCTCCAACATGCAAACAATTACATACAAGTAGTGTGGGTTTAAGGTTATGCAATGCAAATATGTACAAATCATTCGCAAGCCTTGATTTCATGTCGTAAAACCTGTATAAGGAACACCTATGTACCTTAAAATACTGCTCCCTCAGGGAGGTACTTACGGTGGTTCATTTTACATTAATTACTCATGGAGGTACTTAAGGAGGTTCATTTTACATTAATCACTCAAGGAGGTACTTAGCGAGGTTCATTTTACATTAATTAATGGTTACCAGGTAACAGGACTTTGTTCCACTTTACAGGTTTTACGTGACTCTTTTCTAAATTTGAGATAATTCCTTGACCCATTGGTAATATCAACATGCAGTTTTGAGCTTGCATTTTGAAAATGTTACAATTATAGCATTAATAGTCCTCTTTAGGTAAAGTTAATGATGTAAACCTCATATGAGCTGGCCAAAAGCAGGTATTATATCTGCTGTTAATACTGATATATAGTATAAGATGGACTTTTTCATTATTCAATTTGATCTATTTTAATAGAAGAGCCATGGAGACCAAAAAGTTGATCCTATGACCCAGCTAATAAAAACTCACAAATCATATACCAAATTAAAGCCAGTATGTCGGGTTTTTCATTCCAACCTTCATAAGTCTTTAACTAGAGGACTAAGAACTTTTGAGACCCCTGGCTCCCCTACTATGGAGGACATAAATTTCATGCTTGCTACAAATCGTATTATGTATGTCCTCTGTAACTACCCTGTATGCATTGCTATGCATCGTACACTACAGTATAAAAAACTGCAAACTTTAAGTGGAAATTTTTCATACTTAACAGTTTCACTATAATACAGCATACAGAGCCACCTATCTTCAATGTTACACCTCAGTTTATGCTTGAACATGGTCATATACATTGAATTGATTCAGAGAGAACAACACCAGAGGGGCACCATTCTGAGGTTGTGATATATAGATAGATGGTCCGGGATGCAAATTGTCAATAATACAATAACAGAAAATGTCACATTTCATCAATGTGCAATATGGTATTGGTATTCAGATTTCAACAAGTGGTTTGATGGATAACATGATTTGGTAATAATCTGATACAATCTCTTGAGTGTTCTAGGCACCTACATGTTGATTGTATGTTTTGTATAAACAATTTTAAAGCAAAAACCAGTACTTAATCCTAAAATACTCTCAATATGTGGAATACTTAAATTAAATGATCAATTAGTCCTCAAAAAGAAAGAAACACTGGTCTGACCAGAAAGGTTTCGGATTGCAAGGTACACAAAAAACCTGCATAACAGACAATTAGTTTCTATGGGCCATTTTTCCAAAATTATTCCTGTTTTCTCTCTGAACAAAAGCATCGTTTGTCATATAACATGTGTAATTCTATGTACAATATATGATGTGTGTTTCATTTCAATTGATTTCATTCATCATGGCCGTGTTTCAGACTATATTCCATTTTGCATTCTTACAAACAAGACCATGTGAAATATTAACATGATTTTTCATATGGAGTACATGTTGGATGATATTATACAAATGATAACATTGTATTGAATATGATATAAATGATGTCATTGTTGACCTTAAATGAAATAAGGTCATTGTTGACCTTGAATGAAATAAGGTCATCATTCATTGACCTTGAATGAAATAAGGTCATTGTTGACCTTAAATAAAATAAGGTCATTGTTGACCTTGAATGAAATAAGGTCATTGTTGACCTTGAATGAAATAAGGTCATTGTTGACCTTGAATGAAATAAGGTCATTGTTGACCTTGAATGAAATAAGGTCATTGTTGACCTTGAATGAACTTATGTATGATGTATTGAATAATTGCACTCATTCTTCCGGAACTATTTCTTCTTGTCATCTTTGCACCAAATGACATATCGTTGAGCAACGTTAAGCGGAGGACTATATCCTTCAGGGTATGTTGTGTCTTCAAACAACACTGAATAGTCATCTTGGGGCTGGAAATATAAATACATACAAGATTAAATACTTCTCATTTAACATGATTTACATACACCATGAGATATTTGAAAAACATATTTATATTGTAAGAAACTGCAATAAACATCAGAGAGCAATCTGGGTAAAAATTAAATATTGTGGGTTTGATTTTTTATTGGAGAATCCTTGTTTGACTACTGAGACTGCTGATCAATCTGGGTATTCAAAACTACTGATTGCTTTCTGGCCAATCAAAATCAAGTTATTATTCAGTTTAAAGCTACTCACTCTTTTGGGTATCTCATGTATAAGAGCACGATAGAAGCATGTGGTCTGTGGGTATAGTGCCAAAACAAGCTGAAACAAATAGAACCAGCTGTATAAAGTGAACGACTATTGTAGAAATCAAACAATTTTTTGAAGATCATTGAGAGGAAATATGAGGTCAAAAAATTAAACGATTGAATCAGAGCAAATAATTACTTTAATATTTATGAGACTTTTTGGACAACCATCATATAAAATTTGATGAAATCAGAGGAAATAATTAATGTAATATTCATAAGACTTTTGGATAACCCTCCTTTAACATAAAATTTGATGCAATCAGAATCAATAAGACTTTTTGAACACCCCTCAACTTAAAACTTGACTTACAGCTCCTTTCTGAAACAAGGCATCCGGGTCTGTTTCTGGGTTGGCTTTCCATACTGGTAAAGGAACTATCCGCCTCTTACTCAATGTGTGTCTCCTGAAACAACAATTACTATATGTTACAGTTAAATACTAGCTTTCCATACTGGTAAATGAACTATCCGCCTTTTACTCAATGTGTGTCTCCTGAAACAACAATTACTATATGTTACAGTTATATTCTAGCTTTCCATACTGGTAAAGGGACTATCCGCCTCTTACTCAATGTGTGTCTCCTGAAACAACAATTACTATATGTTACAGTTATATTCTAGCTTTCCATACTGGTAAAGGGACTATCCGCCTCTTACTCAATGTGTGTCTCCTGAAACAACAATTACTATATGTTACAGTTATATTCTAGCTTTCCATACTGGTAAAGGAACTATCCGCCTCTTACTCAATGTGTGTCTCCTGAAACAACAATTACTATATGTTACAGTTATATTCTAGCTTTCCATACTGGTAAGGGGACTATCCTCCTCTTACTCAATGTGTGTCTCCTGAAACAACAATTACTATATGTTACAGTTAAATACTAGCTTTCCATACTGGTAAAGGAACTATCCGCCTCTTACTCAATGTGTGTCTCCTGAAACAACAATTACTATATGTTACAATTATATTCTAGCTTTCCATACTGGTAAGGGGACTATCCGCCTCTTACTCAATGTGTGTCTCCTGAAACAACAATTACTATATGTTACAGTTATATTCTAGCTTTCCATACTGGTAAAGGGGACTATCCGCCTCTTACTCAATGTGTGTCTCCTGAAACAACAATTACTATATGTTACAGTTATATTCTAGCTTTCCATACTGGTAAGGGGACTATCCGCCTCTTACTCAATGTGTGTCTCCTGAAACAACAATTACTATATGTTACAATTATATTCTAGCTTTCCATACTGGTAAGGGGACTATCCGCCTCTTACTCAATGTGTGTCTCCTGAAACAACAATTACTATATGTTACAGTTATATTCTAGCTTTCCATACTGGTAAAGGGGACTATCCGCCTCTTACTCAATGTGTGTCTCGTGAAATAGCAATAACTTTGAGTAAGTATTTTACAATCATAATTTTAATTTAAACTGTTATCATCAGTAAATTTATATGAGCAGGGTTATCATTCAAAAGAAATCACAAAGCATACTACATATAATATCATCAGTACTTTGCATCATGGGATATACTGTTGCATTATGGGCCGTATATACTCACTCTTTGCCCTCTTCTGCATCTATATCATCTACATCATATTTATTAGCTACACCATTAAACTGTACAATCTCTGCAAGTATCCAGTTTTCTTCCCCATCACTCCCTTTTACCCTGCAAATAGAATAAATCATTTACAAATAGATGAACATCCAAAAATAGCTAAGGAACTTTCAAATAAATAAACAAGAGAAACCTTTAAAGAAGATTCTACACTTTTATATGGGACAAAATTTCCTTGATTTTAAGTCAAAATATTTTTCTGTAAAATTTTGGATGAACAAATATAACACGAACCTGGCTGCCACTTTGTCACCCTGTTTCCCAATATAAGTAGAATCTGCAGGAGTTGCCCCACATAATGGCGGGGGATCCTCACCAGGCTTGCCAATCCACAGAGGTAACGTTAGAGCATTCTGTTGTAACATCGACATGAGCACACCTCGGCGCATTATTTGTTTAGGACGGTCTCCACTAGCTGTAATGATATAAGAAGATTTATTTATGTGCCTGTTTTCCAGGTTTGACAGTGTTCCATCTACACTCTTCAAAAAAGGAGATTATTATATACTTTGCTCTAGTCGTATCCAATCAAAATAGGTCAATCAAAATCCAGCTAGCCAATTAAAATTGCAGTCAATGAATGAATGAGTCAGAATAGGTTGATCAAAAGCAAGCTACTGAGTAAGATTTGCAGTCACATTAATTCTATGCCTTCATTATAAAGTAGCTGGCATTTGTTTCAAATTCAAACTCACACAAAAAGCCATGTCAGCTTCTTCTGGGGTCATGAAGACTATATACAAACAAAAAAACATCCAGCAGTACAGTATACATTTGTCCTATTCAGAATGCAGTTTTAGCTACTAGCAAGTTGTAAGGTTTGCTGTTATTTTTGTACTAATATTAGTGACCAGTTATGAATGATTATGTAACTTTTGTGGGGAAATAGAAAATGAGTTTATTTCATGATTAAATGCCAAATACATAGAGAAAATAGAAAAATATTGTTTGACAACATCACTAGCAAAATTAATGTTGATCAACATGATCCTGAAAATACGTTCATTATGTTAATTTCTCTAAAAGATAAATCTGGAGATTAACATTTTGGGTGCATCACACTTAAAGTATATTATAACATATGTAAATAACAAGTTTTTTGTATAAATTGTATATATTAATGTAGTGTAGTGTAGTTTTGTACAATTTTATTTTGTAATGACTAATATGTCAGGTCATGACATCTAAAGAGTCAATAAAAGATATATATATATATATACACGTTACAGGCTGCATTTCAGTTTAAGTATAATAAAATAGGCAACTTTATAAGTTCCCATGAATGATCACAACACATTGATCTATTTTATCACTTATTCCAATCAGTGACTCTCAAAAATCATTGATTTTACAATTCCACTTGTTTCTAAATCTCTAAAGTTATCAGGGGGCCATTAACAGAAACTTAGTAAAGTTATGAATTCGTAAATGAATTGTTGTAACTATGGATATAATGACATCACAGTTAGAGAACAATGGATTTTATGAATTCTTAACTTTACAAAGTTTCTGTTAATGACCCCCAGATTAGTTTGATTTATATATTTATTTTAGAAATCTGCATTTTGTACTCACAAGCTCCGCTCCTCACTGCTTTTATTTCAGCAATCTTATCTAAAGCTCTTCTTAAAAGTTCTGCCTCTGCCTCAGCATCCTGCATTGCTGTGTTATAAAGACCCCTTAGCTTAGACTTGAAGTAGGGTGAAACTGGAAAATAAAGACCCCTTATGCTTAAACAATGGAGACTCATCTTCATACACAGCTCCCAGTAGTTGTGGTGAAGATACGTGTAAAGAATTTGAATCTGAATCAAAAAGAATCTACATTCATTTTGCATTGATGGGAATGGAACTATAGCTATAATGAACACAAATCACAAAAACAATGACATTATAATAGAAAGCCTAACACAGAAAATATTAAGTTCAATAAGGATAATTATTGACGCTGAGTCTAGAATTAAAAGATTCCAATAATAGGTGCTTGTATAAAGTAATATATTTGGACTTAAACAATAACTGAATAATAGGCATTAGTACCAACTTGAACCTTTTGATTTAACTATCAATGATACCGATACCTTTTGCGTTCGCTTTAGACTTGGCTTCTTGTTGCATTCTTTCATGAGTTTTTGTAATATTGTTTAAATTATGTTCTCCCCGCTCTCTTTCTTGCTATAAAACAGAATATAGTTTCACGATAAATAGTTGATATTTTACACGTTCACTGAAAAAAGTATTTCCAAAATAATCCATTTAAATAAAATCCCCCAAAGGAAAGATAAAGCTCATTTCATCAGCTGACATTTCTCATGTTCTGGCTTTACTAGTTACAAAGTTGAAAAATTATCAGGGTAAATAGCATCATTCTTTTGCCCAGTTTTCTCTACTATGTGTAACTATGTGACATTTAATGTTGACGATTAATATAGATATGTACCTGAACTTGAAATACTAGCTGATGGAGTTCTTTAAGCATAGCTTTGATTTTCAGATCTGTAGCATTGTTACTAACAACAGTAGGGGTGGATGTTCCACTGGAACTTGGCACATCTCTGGTGGCCGGACTCCCAACTGAATAAGGTTTCGGACTTGACTTTGATTCTTTGTCCATGTGAGAAGGCTTACCTGTAATGTAATTATCTTGAAATAAATACGAGGAATTATTGTGCAAACGTCAAACATGTTCTTATAAGCTTAAGTTGTGCCTAATACCCAATGATTTGGTATTGGTTTTAAAAACTTTAAATTGAATTTTAAACGAAACGAACACAAAAATCTGTGTGTAAATTTTCGGAAACTTTCCTTATCAATTAAATGATCTAAAAAATACACCAGAACCTGAACCTCAGTAATCCCAACACCTCTCAATATGAACACCAGTCAGTCTGAATTTGGCAATATCCCATTGACTGACCCTTGCATAATCTATGTATGAGACAGTGTAAAGAGTAATTCTATTATAACTTACCAAAACTTCTGCTACTAGTGCTAGAAGCAGTGATTTGTGATGCAGCCCATGATTTTGCTTTTCTCATCTTGCTGGTTATATAATGCCCTTATGTGTTCATGAGTAAATCAGTGTAACATCACAGAAAATCCTAAAATTCTTGGGAATATGTTGTAATACTGATGCTATTGTTTTGAGCGTGACATGTGGATACTATTTTGTCTATAGCATGGTCATATAGTCGTGAAATGGTCAGGATCAATCTGGAACACACAAAACCATAAGTCTTAATTTCAATATCACTGGTCAGTATCAAGCGAAGGTACAGCCATCACCTTCACATTTAAGATGGCGGACATGGAGTGTCAATTTCGATATTTTAGTTTTCATGGAACTAAACAACTCTAAGTTGACATAATGCTTGATATTTGAGCTAGGCTAAATCAGACTTGTATCACATGGAAACTTTTGAATATGATCATTTCTTCATATAACAATATCTTCCATCGCTTTAACATGAAACCAAAATCCCAGTCACTTTCACTTAGGCGGTGGAAGATATCGTTGAATTGTGGTGCTTACGCAGCATGGACACTTGATCATACAAAAGATCTCAGTATAATGTCTGAGTTTCGATAGAATGTCACCCCCGTCAGTGGATTGAAGTCCCTGTGCCCTGTTGAGAAAAATTCTTGAGAAATCACTCTCTCAGATGTATTATAGTACATGTACAGTATTTGCAGAAGCTAATCTACAGAAACATTTAGTTAATCATATAAAGTGAGATAACAAATTGACATGATTGACCCACAGTGAACACCATCTATTGATCTCTCTTATTAGAAGTAATCTTCTTCTATTAATAATAGAGATCAATCGATGGTGTTCACTTTGGATTGACCGAGGAGAATATTATTTTTTACAAAAATTTGAAAAAAAATAATATTTTTCACAATTTTGAAGATGACAATTTTAGGTCAAAAACTCCACAGATCGTCACATTACTCGATAACGAGACAGAGTAGATACTTGTCTAAATTACAGATAAGTATAAAATACACCTTACTCACCCTAAAGACCTATAATATTGACATTTCACAAATTTCAGGGAAAATAAAAATCACTGAGAGACGAACAGACCACAAACTAGAAGGATGTAACGAGGAATTTGATTGGTCCACGATTTGTTGCTATAAAATGTCAAATGTTTAAAATGTTGCCAGATTACTTGACTCTCCCACTCTGTGGGTTTGTGTTCTTTCCAAGTTTATTTATTTTTGTACGCAAAATAGCACATACCTTCCTTGGGAGCTATTTTAATGAGTCGGATCAAGTCAATATCAGTGTGAAGTAAGTAAAACCTAATTTTCTCCCTATTATCGCCCACCTGAATGAAAGTGAAAACTGAAGTCGGTGATAAGACAGTACGTGTATATATATGATTTTTCGTAAGGTTCGGCACATTCGTATTACCTTCATTTGATGAATATTACTATCATTTTATCATCCATTCTGGTACCCAGCATCTTAGTTCTAAGAGTCTTCATTGTATAGACATGAGCCACACCCACTCAAGGAACCCGATAACCTTCATTAGTCTGTGTTACTTAGTGTAGTTGTCTTTCTAGTTCTAAATTCTCTAGTGGTAAATTCAATGCCCCGTGTGGGAATCGAACCTAGGATCCAAAGACTGATGCTCTACCGACTGAACTAGTTCGATTCCCACACGTCGGGGCATTGAATTTAGCACACTTCTTTCAATTTCTTTATCTGGCTCGTTACACTATACTCATTAGTTAGTCATTCCCCTTGGGTGCCAACGGGTCATTACATATCATATAAGCACCTCACCTTTCATGATTCTAGGGTAGTATCGTCCACCCATGCAGTATTAGCCGTGATAGCTGGTGTTATTGTAATGTCTAACACTCATGGCGACATCATCAAAGATCAGTAAGTAGTCTATGAAGGATCCGTACACAATAATGCTTACACAAGAATTTGTACATACATGTATATTTTTCCTATAATTAATTGAAAGTTAGTGTCTGTATTTTTAGATTTGTTAATAAATCCAACTGGAAATTTTTGAGATTTTGTCTGTGATGTTATTCCAGTGAAATCTGTCTTGTTCGAATACCATTATTAATGTCTTTGGGATTTTTAACATAGAAGTCTATGACAGGATAAAAATGACACTGAAAAAGGCGTTCACATTGGCAGGTAGATTAGAATGGTGTTCAATTATACAGGTTCTACTTTGCTTCTCAAACTTTTAACTTATTCTTATTTTAGGCACTGGCTCTTAAACCCATTCTTCATGTTCGCCACTCCATATATGGCATACGATGTTGTAGCAATGTATATTCACCACACAGTTCGATTCAGGACGGAGTTACAGGGTCAAACTATGATTCAGTGCATCGTCCATTACTTTAGTAAAAACAAAGTAATGATGTTTCACCATATATGTTTACCAATGGTATATCTGCCAGCAGTTTTGGTAAGTTAACAATAACACAGATGCGAGTAAGTAGTTACCATTTTCACCTCCAGGTGGCTAATTTGGGTTAGATAACATGGCACAGTATTAGAAAGTTCCCTCAAACTTGAATATTCATCAGCTTTAGTGGTTCAGTTTTCATATTACCCTTACATGTATGTATCTGATAAATTGACAAATTGAAATATATCCAGTAAAAGAAAATATTATCTGCCCAATATAAGAAAAGATATTGTAACGGAATTTTGAAAATGCAAAATTTTTGATTTTTGATAAAGTGTTGTATTTTTGTACATTAGGCAATTATTACACTTGGAAAGTAATTTCCTATTGAGATTATTAAGATTTATAAATGTAGTATCATTTGCAGCACTTAGGTTGTACTTACAGAGGTGAAATAGTTCACATGTTTTATTTATTTGATCACGATTTTGTTTATGTTGATCGGGCAGTCTTATCTGGCAGTCTAATTTGTAGTTGATCGGTAGTCTAACATGACAACTTTATTATTTTACTTCCTGCTTTTGATTCGATTGAATCGAAGGAAAATTAGACTAGATAGTGGTTAATTACTGTTATATTTCTTGAGTCAATATTATAATCTTGTTGTATGATCAATATTGAAGCGAAATATGGCGTAAATAAGCTGTAATTCACAGTTGAAATCTTGTACGAAAATCGATGACGTCATCGGGCCTATATAAGTATCTCGCTGTTGAAGGATCGTCAGTGCGATGCCAGATGTTGTCGAGGAAGGACCTCCAGAGCGGAATTTCGGGAAACAGCTAAAATCTTCTAAGTTTTATAGAACTTAGTTGATTTTGTGGTCTTGAAGCTATACGTTTGCAGTATACACATGAAGATAGAAGCTGTACCTTAGTAGTATACATCTGATGAGCCAAGCTATACGTTTGCAGTATACAAGGGCAGATTGAGGAAACTAAGTGTGAGGAACTTAGTTTATTTTTGGAACTTGGAATTTTGGGAAAACTTTGATGTAGCTAAGTGTGTGAAACTTAGTTTATTTATCGCACTGGAAGTAAAGGAGATCTACAAGACTGGACAAAACTTCAACAGGGTGAAGCTATCCCCAGCGCAAAGCATTAGACGTATTGTCCAGCCTTCATGGACTGAGAGGAAATGCTGACATAACTTGTGTTTGAGAAACAAGCTATTTTGATCATCAAGGAACTTAGACGATTTACAACATTATTGGACTTAGTCAGTATTTGGTGAAACATTATTTTGGACTTTGTTATTTCTGGAGATAGAAATATTTAACTTAGAATATTTTAACATCAGTATAACTTAGTATGAAATTAACTTAGTCAATATTTGGTAAAACATTATTTTGGACTTTGTTGTTTTTGGAAAGAGAAATATTGAACTTAGAATATTTTAATATCAGTATCACTTAACATTAAATGAACTTAGTCATTTTAGAGGTCAAATATTTTCACATGTTATATTTTTGCATATGTCGTTGTGTGCATGCTATATTTGTAGGTAGCCTTATTATTTAGTTGTGAAGAAAGCAGGCTACATGGACTTAGCAGTTGATGCCGTATATTAGACGTTCTTGGACTTGGTAGTTTGAAGATTGTGATAGTTTGACTTATACATCTACAGAGAAGAGGTTCTGGGACTTAGCAGTTTATTCAATGAGATATTTTGACTTTGATGATTTTGGGTCATTGAAGTTAGAATATACATCTACATAGAAGAGGTTCCAGGACTTAGCAGTTTATTCAACGAGATATTTTGACTTTGATGATTTTGGGTCATTGAAGTTAGAATATACATCTACAGAGAGGACGTTCCAGGACTTAGCAGATTATCCAGCGAGATATTTTGACTTTGATGATTTTGTGTCATTGAAGTTAGAATATACATCTACATTGAGGAGGATCCAAGTGATAGCCGTTCACAGAGCTGATAGTTTGACTTAGATTATTTCACATAATCAAAGTTGAATTATACTACAACACATTGAGGAGGATCCAGGACTTAGGAGTTTACACAACTTGATAGTTTGACTTAGATTATTTCACATAATCAAAGTTGAATTATACTACAACACATTGAGGAGGATCCAGGACTTAGGAGTTTACACAACTGATAGTTTGACTTAGATTATTTTACATAATCAAAGTTGAATTATACTACAATACAGAGAAGAGGATCCAGGAGATTTACGTTTACGGAGTAATAGTTTGACTTAGATTATTTCACATAATCAAAGTTGAATTATAATACAACACAGTGAAGAGGATCCAGGAGATAGCCATTTACCGAGCTGATAGTTGACTTAGATGATTTCACATCATCAAACTTGAATCATACTACACTACATAGAAGAGGATCCAGGAGATTACTATTTCAGGTTCAAGTTACAAGTACAATACAAGACGTACAAGTATTACAACATATATGAACTTTTAATATTGGAGATACAACAGTGATATATTGATCATCAGCTTCAATTTATATGGACTCTGGATATTGTGTTATTAGTGATTATTATTAGTTTATATGGACTCTGGATATTGTTTCATTAGTGATAAATATTAGCTTATATGGACTTTTGAGTTGTGAGTTTTGAGAGAGATATTAAAATCGTAACACTCTTACAATTAGACTTGAAATTTTATGTACATCTTTATTTGGGCTTATAAACGCCACAATATACTGTTTTATATTTTATATTTAATTGTATGTCTGTTTAATTCTTTAGGGACAATCGCACATTTAACGTGTGCCGTGTAACTCACCAAGTAAACACCGTTTACTAAACAGTGGGCCTATTATTAGCCACGCTACCACGTATATCCACAAAAATAGGCCAAACTGTTACATTGGTGGCAGCGGTGTTGGGATTGACTGTTTCTGAGGAATTGAACAAGAGGCACATTATAGCACTTTAAAGATGGATACAGAGGATCCAAAGTCGATAGAGAGTGGTGATCTCTCTGATACAAATACAGACAAGTCTAAAGATGTAGAGAAGACTGTCTTTGTAAAGTTAGCTACAGACGGTGAGATAGATAATCCCATAGCCAAGGATGACACTCTTCAATATACAGGAAGAAAGGCTACGGAACATATGGCTACAGAACTCCCAGCGATGGAGAAATGGAGGTTGCCAAGTGAGGCAGATCTAGATGAGAGACACCCTACAGTTGGGGGTGCAGAAGCAATCTACCCTAGTGATAAGACTGGGATAGAAACTGAGTTTAAGAAAGCCTGGAGTGGACAGACTACTGGCTATTGGTCAGGCGCAATACATAATGGTGTTTATAGTCCACAGAGTCAAGCATGGGGAGCCAGACCCAAAGGAGATAGATATATGCCTCGCACCTCAACCATGATAACTACACCTGCAGAACTTAGAGTGGACATGCAGGAAAAACCAGCTGACAGAGAAATAAAAACTCATATCCATGTTATGGAAGATACCATAAACCAAAATGTGACTACCATAAACATGATGGAGGGACACATGTCTCATATTGAAGGACAGGTGGCTAACATGGAAGGACACATGTCTAACATGGGAAGCCAGGTCAATAACATTGGTGGAGAAGTCACACAGATCAAAGATCATATTGGAACTTTGTCACAAACTTTGAAGGCGGAATTTAAGGAAGAGATGAATAACTTATGCCAGACCTTACATATGGCATTACAAAGTTCAACTTCTCGTCCTGAACCAGTTTTACAGGGTGACGTCAGACCTTCAAGTCCTGTAGTGAAATTAGGAACAAGTGTAGACACCAGAACAATGTTACAGGCTAAGTCCAGTGCGACTTCTCAGAGATTACAGTCTCGAGAAGTTCTTTCTACATTTAATCCGCAGCAAGGAGTGGTAGGGGGGCCCACATTAGTTAATCCAGAATTAACTGCTGATCAACCCAGAATAGTAACTCCCCCAAAGTGGCCACTCATACGCCAGAAGAGAATTGCTTCTGATGAAGATTTTACAGGATTGCCAAAGAGACCTGCATTTAAGAGTCCTCCGACAAAAAGGAGAGTTGCAGCTGTAAAGTCAGAAGATGACTATGGATTCGGAGAGACAAAGTTTGTGGGAACACCGAGTAAAAGAATGTTTGTGCCTCAACAGACTCAAAGTCAGCCTTCCAAGGATAGATACCGATCTACATATGATGAATTACCGAATGAGGCTGAAACCAGATATGAAGAAGCTCTGCAGACTAATGCAAATATGACACATTTTACTCCTCAAGAAGAGGAAACGGCCGTACCAATGAATGATACAATGCCTTCAGTGATAGCTCAGTTTGCAAAGATGCATGAAGAGACGACTAAATTAGTTGGGAAGGTATTGGAAGAGACAATACCTAAGAGAGCTGCCTCTCAGAGCAAGACAAAGATAAAACCTGACACATACAATGGAACTACACCATGGATTGACTACAAAGCCTATTTTGCCATGTGTGTAAGTGCAAATTCATGGAGCGATGAAGAGAAGAAACAGTTTCTTGCAACTAGCCTTAGGGGTCAAGCGCAACAACTCATCTATGAGATGGACCCTGGCTATACGTATGATGAATTGGTGTCTGCCTTAGATAAAAGGTTTGGCCCAGGAGGTAAAGCAGATGTGTACCAAGCAGAGTGGGTGGGCCGAACACGTAAACCCAAGGAAACACTACAGACTCTTGGTCAAGATGTCAGACGGCTGACATCATTAGCATATCCTGAGTTACCTCGGGCTGCTCAAGATCGTTTGGCTAGGGAACGTTTTGCGCAGGCTATCCCTGATGATGAGATTAGGCGATCCATTCATAATCATAGCGGAGATTGCAGCACTTTAGACAAGGCCATTGAAATTGCCATACGAGAGGAGTCTTATCTTGAGTCTGAAAGGATGCGCAAAGGTTTAAAACCAAGACATAGAGATGAAAGAGTAAATGCTGTAGAAGAGAAACAGGCTCAAAATGAAATGATGCAATTGGTAAAGGCGTTTCAGGAGATGCATAGGG